CCAAGAAATGTAAAGAAAGATAAATTAATGTATGGTGTATATTAGTATTGCTGTGTTGTGTGAGTTTTAGTTAATTTAAAATATAAATAAATATTTACAAATATACGTCAAAACCTAAAAGTCTTATAAATTTAACAGATTTTAGTACTACTGATTTCATGAATTTAAAACAGCTAATATAAAAAATAGTGTAAAATATATGAAACAATATCAAAATTAACAGTTGATGTGATTGAATCGTTTGAAACGTCTTCAGTTACAGACATCAATTTTAATTTAATGACCTAAAATTAATTATAAAACTTTAGAAATCCTAAGATTATGATTATACTACATTATTTTAGTTATGTGCTATTTATTAAAGCAAGAACATATTTGTTTAAGCCTGGTATTACAAAAAACCATCTTCCATATGAATCTCATAGATATTTAGTCTCCTATAATCCTAGCGAAGATTATGAAAGCTCCAGTTTTGAATTGCATGCATTGAATCAAGAACTTGATTTACAGGAACTAAAAAATAATGGTGGTGAAATAAAACAAGCGGACACTATATTTCATACTCACCAAATTCCAAATTTTGATCTTAAATTTACCAACTCATCAAGAGAATCTCAGGTTACAAACTATGAAAGAAAATTACTATATTCAAAAATATTTACATTTACACCTGATTTTAATTTCAATGTGAATGTAATATTAGTTTCTACAACTAAAAACTACCATCCGCAGCTAGTTTTCTCAGAGAAAAATAATGATGGATATATACAACTTAATGATAGTACAACACGTTTCAACTTTAATTGTTTAAAAGATAAATCTTATGTAGTTGAAGTTGGATATAGTAGGGAGCTTATCACTGATCCATTCGATAATATTTCATCAGGATCATTTATTTTAATACTTTCATCAAATACACTTTCAATATTAGATGTTATGGTACAGGAAAGTATTATAATTAATATTAAGGGATTTGAAGGTGTAGCACCGTTTGAACACAATGCACCACTCAAACTTTTTCATCCTGATGGAAGGATGATGAACCATGGATATCTTAATTATAATATTACCCCATTTTTCAATGATACCAAACAAAGCATAACATTATATTATCATCGTGGAGTAGATTTTTTTTCTGGTGATATTAAAAGGTCATCTATTTTAGAAATAAAATGTAATAAAAGTGCGAGAAGTACAAAAATATACTTTGGTAAAGAGCCATCAAGGGGAAAATACGAATATACTATTGAAAGTAGCCGAATATGTGATATTATTAACTTAATCAGATAAAATTAAAATTCTACTTAAATTTTAAGTTTAACATTTTGTTGAAATATTAGAATAATTGCAGTGTTTAAGTAATGCGGCATCATTTTTTCAAAAATTTTTTGTTTGCAATCGTTAATTAGTAAATTTTCAACTCTAGTTTATCATCAAACATTGAAATCATACAAATATCATTCATCTTAGATTTTACTTTTAATACTTACCAAATAAAATAGCTTTCAATTTAAACATTAAATTCCATTTAATGTAAATTAGAATCCTGCTCTTTTGTCATATGCATAGTTTCAATTCTCCATCTGATCGATTTGTCCTTAGAGTCACTTGTTGAACATTTTGGCGTCGTATCTTTTGGCATTAAAAGTGACATTTTACCATGCGTTTCAATTCGTTCAGGATCATATTTATCAAATACAGGTTGCGATTCGGATTTAGTAAGCTCCTGAATAAAATTAAATTCTAACAGCAAGTCAGCTGGATCTAGTTCATGTGGATACGTCTCAGTTCTTTTCATAAACTCTTCAATGGCCACTCTTTCTGCATATTTCGCATTTATTATCTGTCTTTGAGCATTTTCAATACTATCCAGCTGTAATAAAAGACTTTTAAATTCTTTTTCAATTTGTCGTCTTACTGCTGTAATATTATCCTTAAATGATCCAACTTTATCTTTAAATCTACAAAGCTCCCTATTACAATTCTCAACACGTCCTGCAACTGGTTTTGTCCAATCAGAAATTTTAGATTTAAGTATCTGGCATGCTTCTAAGAAAGATATAATATGATGATCGCATTTATCTCTGCCAGAATGATTTCCAGTAATCTTACAATCTGCACAAATTGGATCCATGCATGTTTCACAAAAGTACTCAACAACTTTTGTTGGATGATATAAGCAACATATAAACTTCTTTTGTCCCACATCTGAAAAATAAATTCTTGAGTGGCGCTTTAGGAATTCATCATTATGAACTTGTATGTCGCAATCCTTACAAAAACTAGCTCTTTCTGAAGGACAGAACATTGTAGATTGTGATTTTTTACATCGATGGCAAATAAATGATTTTCTGGAGAGTTTCTCAAGTTCCTCATCATATTCAAAAGTGACCTCATACAAAAGTAACACCCGAGAAGTATCTTTGATAATATAAGAAAACGTTGAAATATCGATGTTAGCGTCTGTAAGGAAGCCTTTAGCATCATTCTGTGCAACTATGAATGAATCATAGTCTTTTGGAACATCCAAAGTTTGAGCATACTCATTACTAACAAAGAGAGATCTTCCCACTGAAACCTCACAGAAGTAAGCCTTGTGGATCTTGGAGTTTTGACAAAGTGGAACACCAAGTAACGGAAAAGCAGAGAGATTGGAAGCTTCGGAGCAAAATGCCTGAACTTTCTTAGAATCGCAGAATCGATTATTGAAAGATAGCACTTTTTTAGGATCTGACATGTCTTTAACATCAAGGACCTTTAAAGTTAAACTGTTCAACAAGAATTTCAGTTTGAATTCTACTTTGTTGTCCATGGGTTCAAAACAATTTGTTGTTAGATACAAAAAAAAGTAATGAGTGATGATTAAAATAAATTTGGTATAAAGAATAGGAATGCAATGCACTTATTCGTATGGGAAAGCTAGCTATAAGAACTATATTTTATATTAAAAAGATATATTATATATTAAACGAATAAATAGCTATTGTTTATACAAAAGATAATATTATTAACGTTATGATATTGCATGAATCAATACGGTCATAAATTGCTTTAATAACAAAAATTAACTTTTGAATGAAAAGCATTTGATGATAGATAAGTTAGCTGTAGAATGGAGCGAATTATTGCCAATAAAGTGTTTCTTTATGTTATTTGAAAGTTCATGAAATTTTAAGTTTTGTTTATTAACTAATAACAAGTTATATTGATAATAAATTTATCCAACTATTGATTGTTTTGATCTATAATAGACTGAGTATGCTCTAAAGAACTAAGAATATCAGCAGGATTTAAGCCAATTACCACACCATTTAAAACAAAATTGTCAACTATTGCGTAAGTATCCTTAAAGTGATAAATCAGTGATTTATGATTGAGACTACCTAACATTCTTTCAATAGTATTCATTAAAACAGTAATTAAAGCTAAAATATGCATTTCATTCTCCTCATTTGCCACAAAACATATTATTGAATCGTCATACTGCTTGTATACAATTATATTACTGTTCAAGTCAATGAAATTAGAATCGTTGTTAGATTTTAAAACACTTATAATACTCTTAATACTTATTGATTTACAGTATATTCTCGTTAATATTGTCTCATAATCTGTATTGAAAATGAATATTCCTTTTATCATTAGTTGAATATCTTATTTGTACTTTGATAGATTTTTATTGATTATTTTGAAACAATAAAAAATACGACCTTCAATACCTATCTCTTGAAAAATATATTTCAATATTGATCATTTAGCTAGCTATGTTACAGTTAAATAAATTAAACTTAGAATAAAATATAGTAGAATAGATATTATAGAGAAAACAAGTTTACTTGATATTCTTCTTTGAACCAGTTCTTCTACCCGTGCTTCTAGCACCAATCAATCCAACCTGTTGTGCATATGGAGCAGTTTTGGCAATAGTACTTGGGGCACCAATATGCTGATGATTACCTCCTCCATGAGCGTGATCAACTGGATTCATGGCCACACCTCTAACTTTTGGAAAGATTTGTCCCCTAGATTTGTAAAGATAATGAGCTGTCCCTGCTTTAAGAATAGGTTTCTCGGTTACACCAGAACCTGCAACAAGACCAATGATAGCTCTAGCATCGGAATTAAGGACCTTCTTCTGTCCAGAAGGCATTCGAATAACTGTTTGATTGCTTTCCTTTCTGTGATTTACAATATCACAGAATGCGCCAGCTGTTATTGCAAGTTTACCTCCATCCCCTAAAACATACTCTACTGAATGTACAGAAGAACCTTCAGGAATATTCTTTAGATGAGTGATGTTTCCTATTTTTATTTCTACGTCACTACCAATTGTAATCTGAGAGCCAACATTCAGGCCCTCTGTTGCAGCAACATTATATTTTTCACCATTGATTTCAAGAACAGCTATTGGTGCACATTTTCCTCTTTCATGAATAAGATCTACAACAGTGCTCTTGGTAGTTTCGGATACTGCAGGGTATTTAAAGAGGGTATATTCTTTTCCAATTCTTTCTTTCTTCTTTATTTGTCTGAATTTTCTAATTATTTTCGACATACAGGGTAAAAATTTTTGTAAAATTTTTAGAAAGAGGAAAGAGACAATAGCCAAAATTATACATAAAGAAAAGGATAAAAACATTTAACTAATGCGCCTATAGTAATTATTCATATGTTTTGTTTTTAATATGAAACTATCAATAAGATATTATTCCGTAGTAAGTAGAATGTATCAATTTATTAGCACTGAAAAATAGTTAAAGATATAAAATGTGCTTTGCAAATATTTTTCAATTACGTCTGTAAGGCCCGTTGTTATTATATCCCATGGTTTTTATAGGTTTTGTGAAAAAACTCAACTCAACACTGTTTAGTAAAATTACTTCAAAAAATGAGCTCTTTCTACTAAATGGCAAAGAAATATCATACTGTGAACTGTGTGGTATCGTGATCAGCATTTCGTCGAATAACATTATAATTTGTGACTTTTTTGGATTAATGGAAATCTATAAAAGTGCAGATATAGTTCCTAAAGGAAAAGGCCCATTTATTTTCATAATAAAGTTGTATTCTAAGAGAGGAACAATTTATGGATATTGTAAGAATATTAGAAGTGTGTCCATATATGAAGAAATATCTTTTAATATTGAAGTTAAAGCACTGATTGCAAGTTTTTGCTACTAAAACCGTTCTAATAATAAATGTTAAAATAGCCTATAAACTAACATTTATTTAATAAAATATAGTAAGAATCTGTAAAATATGTGAATCATAAAAGTTTATTTAATAACTAATATATTTAACTAACGATTGTGATATATATCCCCTGATTGGTATGTGTGCAACTGATAAGTGAATTCATATTAATATGATATTTTCAGTTTATTTGTGGCTTTATATTTAATTTTACTTTTGAATGTCTTTCTTGTTTCGTAAAAAAATAATGCCCTTATGAAGCTATTACCAATTTTCCTCACAATAGTATTTGCAAGCTCACTTCTCATGAACTTGAGACAGCAAGCTGAACAAGCACGTTCAGGCATATCGCAGCATGTAAGTTCACTAAAATCCTTTGCATCTGAGAACATGCCTTCTCTTTCAGGAATAAAGAGGATTTTCGAAAACATGAAAAAGAAAATCTTGTCAAAAACTAAATGTGAGAAGAAAAAACATGACGAAGAGGATGACGAAGATTTTAACGTTAATTCTTCAGCTTTGAATGAATTTCTTAAAAAATTTGCTGAAGAGTTATCTAAACATCAACAGAAAAATCAGGAAAAAACATCAATGCCGAAGGATACTGAGAATGTAGATAATCATGAAGAAACTCATGGACGTTCAGAAGAGGACGAAGAAATTGATGAGAAAGATGAATTATAATTAAATAGGCATTTTGATTACGTTAAGCTGATGTGTATTTAACTAAAACTTGAAAGGTAAACATGTTCTCTAAGTAAATATTCTTATGACTGTTTTTTATGTTTTATTTAAGTTATTTTAATGGTATATGTAAAAATATATTTAAGATATACTATTCACATAAAAGTAAAATTAAAGCCAAATTTATGCATATCAATTCATTTTCTTTGAAATCTAAGCATGCATTAAATTAGTTTGTTGGGTGTGTGTACATTTTGTTTGTAAAATTCTAGTTTTTATCCCTTGTAAAGTAAAACAATGAAAATAGGACTACTTTTTCTATGCTTGTACTTAGGAAAGCCTGCTGTAGTAGAGTCATATTTCCAATATACTGATGTTATGGATGAAATTGAAGAGTTCAAACGCCTTACGCCCTTTATGGAAATTGAATATTCGAAAATGAACAAAGAGACTAATATAATAGAAACTAAAAGAATAAAAATTGAGTTTGAATTATTCTTTGATGTAACTCCGAAAACATGTCTCAACTTTGCAAAAATCCTTAAGGGCTGTGAAAAGAAAGATACAGTCTGGAGATATAAAGGATCGTTTTTTCATAGAATAATTAAAGGTTTTGTGATGCAAGGTGGGGATTTTACTAATGGCAACGGCACAGGTGGGAGATCAATTTATGGAAGAATCTTTGATGATGAAAATTTTTCTAAAAAACATGTATTTGGTGTTTTAAGTATGGCTAACAGTGGTGTAAATACGAATGGTAGTCAATTTTTTATTACATTTAACAAATTTCAGCATCTTGATGGGAAACATGTTGTTTTTGGCAAAGTTAAAAAAAGAGATTTAAAAAAATTAAAGGCAATTGAAGAACTACCGACAAATGAGCAAAATGGAATGCCTATTTGGCCCGTAAGGATTATCGACTGTGGATTTGAAGAACTAGAAAAATTCAATCTTTAATAAAGTTATTCTATTAGATAAAAACATTTAAAATGCATATAATAGTTGATAGTCGACAAAAGGAAAATTTAGTTTAATTTTTTCAATGCTTTAAAACCTTCTTGTCTGTTAACACGCATTTTGGCAATGTCGATAATTTCAACACACATCACTATTTAACTTTAATTAATTTAATAGATATTATTCACCCTCTTGTCAACTAATTATTTTTAATGAACACTACTATTTTACTCATAGCCAATATTATAACTTACACTTGAAAATCATCAATATTTATTAAAGACATCCACGAATAAATCGATTGTTAATGCATTTTTGATTTTAATATTTGATAAATTGAAATTGATATATTTTCTATTTGCTCAAGTATTTTTTTTAGTACTGTCCCAAGACTATGGATAGAACAGAACAAGAAAATTGGTGCGATATATTCAAAAAAGCTAAGGCAAAGAGAATGCATGTTCCAATGTGCAGTTGCAACAATCAACTTTTAGATGAGGATCGAAATCAATTGCTTATTATGCTTAATGAAGAATTACTTAGTGAACTGTTTCATATCATACAAATCAATCCAATAACTAACTTAGCTGAGCTAGGAAGGATTTATAGACAAGAGATAAGAAGAATATTAGACATTCCAGAGTCATCATATTCTTTTCGTAATTATTCTACACGTAAAAGATATGATGTTCTGAGGGACAATCAAGAGAACATTCCTAAGGCAAAGTCAAATCTACGACCACGATTAAAATCATCAAAGCCTTGCAAAAATGAAAACAGTAAAAAAAGATATACAGAGAGTTATCTAGTCTTTGGCTCTCTATTTGGTATTAGTCCACCCTTGTCAAGTGACGATTTTTTGACAGTTTTTCTTGAACAAAATTCTGATGTTTTGGAGGAGCGAGAAAAAATGCTCGTTCATTATATTCAACTAAATGATGTAGTAAAGACAAGAGGAAATCCAATAAATGGCCCCAGAAAAGAAGATATCGGAATGTATAATAGAAAGATATTTGAAACTTACTCAAGGAAAGGTAATGGCATAGCTCAGGATCAATTGGTTGTGAATGTAAAATTTTTTCCTAAGTATAATAATTATATTGGCCATGATTTAATACTCACTTCAGATTTTGTCCAACTTTATAAATTTAATGGTTCAAGTAAACAAAGACTTGAGCAAAGTCTGTTTATAGTTCATCAAAGGGATTCAAAGAAAAAATGTACCATTTTCCATTCTGATAAAATCATTTTTAATAAACTCGAAAAAGAACAATTCAAATACGCCTTAAGTAAATGTAAAAGAAGTATCAACATCCTTCATTTTGAAACATTTACATTGTATAGTGCCGAATTTTTATGTGAAAATGCAGCGATCCGTGTGTTTAATTCATTTTTTAGCAAAAATGAATAAGGATACCAGTTTAAACCTTGAATAATTTTGTAAATAAACTAGCATACTTTACTATATAATTTTAATATTATTGTATGGTTTTTTAATACTCTAATACTTTTATATGATAATGATAGCATTATTTTCTTGTTTGGATGTCATAGATTTGGGATAAAAGTGTATTATATAATCAAAAGCATTACAGCATTGATTTCAATGAGCTTTTGTGTTGAAGAAGCTAATTAATTTGTTCATATTTTATTGGTGGACAATAAATTTTGACCAGTTATTGGTTTTTTAAACGAATAAATTGTTTAAATTTAAATTTTCAATAGGTAAGCATGGTTGTTAGAAAGATAACACTCGATAAGATATGCTCGTCGAGCTATGATGATTTAGATGCTGTTAATGATTATATATTAGCATGTGAAGAGGATGATGTAGATATAAAAGCCATTTCTGAAGAAAATGACCAAGACAAGAAAGTAGAAAAAGAAATAAGAAGATACAAGCCACAAATGAATGAAGAATTAGAGGATAAATGTACTCTTAAGCAGACAGTTAAAAAAATAAATGATAATGCGAATGTAGAAAAAAGAAGTGAAGATAAAACAATATTGACAGCTAGAAGCGATGATTTGAGTGAGATTTATCAATTTTCAGCAAAGAAACAAAATTATATTGCCAAGCAAGATAAACTTAATTCAAGCGAACGAGAACAAAATGATGCCCATGAAAGTATACTTGCCTGTGTCTCGACCGAATCCAATATATATTCTATTACCTTATTTGATAATTCAACAACCATTACTAATGAATCAATAGAAAAGCTACCGGAAAATTTAAAAGCAGTTGATAGTGAGCAGGACTCACTCTGTTCATTAAAAAAAGTTTGTGAAATGCTAAATGAACAATGTGTTTCCAGTGAAAATGGCACGGAACAGTCCAAAATACTGCCTTATAAAGCTATTATTAATAATACTACAGAACTACAAGAAGGAGACAAGCAAAAAAAAATAGATACGTTATTTCTAAACATGATAAAATATTAGAATGTGATTTTAATAAAATTAAGTTAAAGAAGTTAAAAAAACCAGTTAATTCGACAAATATCTATGAGCTAGGCAATGTAGAAACGAAGTATCATCTTTCAAATATTAGTACTTTGAAAACCCATACCAAAAATAATTCTCAAAGTAGAACTCATTTATCAAAGGAGTATTATAATGAAAATTTACAAGATGAGCCGTTAAAGTCATTTTTAAACACTCTAAATATAGTTAAAATTCAAAAAGTTGAAGATGAAGGGAAAAAATTAGACATTTCGAACACTTATTTTCTTGGGGAGGTACCAAATGCAATTTCTATTTCAGAAGCAACTGAATATAACGATTTTATTGGTAGGGAATTGTACGATCAATTGCATAAAAAATGTGCATCGGGAAGGATAACAGAAAACTATGTTAAACTGTCAGCCAACGAATTTACTTGTTACAAATCCAAGCAGATTAAAAGAATACATGCAGATCCTGCAAAATCCATCTTTCTTGTTCCTCACAATCAAGAATATTGTTATCCTGAGAAATATAGAGTGGACTTAAGGGATGCAAGGTTATGTGTTGTTACTGGAAAAAGTTCATATTGTACAGATTGGCTTTGCTGTTATAAACCAAATTTAAATAGAAATATTCTCTATGATATTACAGATTTGAATATACTGACTGTTACAAAATTTGGAAATGAGCAAATTATATCATTTGGAAAGGAAGATAGATGTGATTTTATAAAAATCTACGATCTTGATTTTGTTATTTTAAAAGATTGTGAGCATTATTGGTTTAAGGCAAGAGACAAAGGTAAATTTATAAAACTACTTACTGCAATTCAATTAAGATGTAAAAACAAAGCCGTATAGTTCTACCGAATCCTAAAAAATTAAATTATAGTTTCAAAGTAGTCTGCTGGTTTTAAATTGAATGATAATATATAAACACACCGATATTTAAAACAAATGCGCATCTAAACTTCATTTAATATTAAACTGCAGTTGATCTATTGCTAAATATATTACTGATTAAAAATCAATATAGAATAATACAATGCATATACATAAAATTTGGATTAAGATGCTTATGCTTTCTACTAATTTAATTAATTTATGTTATTTGAATGATATTTTATAAGCTTTATATCTTCTTCCTTCAAATTTTTAGGCAACAAAAATTTTAAAAATTTACATCCCATGAATTATCTGTACAGAGAATCCACAATATCAAATCCTGTAGAAAATGTGCTGATTATTGGAGATTATTTTCTTTTTCACCATCATTCTACTTTAACTGTTCTCGATCAATCTTTGAATATAGTTCGTAAACGATATTTCTATGAACAGATTTTAGGTATAAGAAAGACAGCAGATTCAATGATAGTTATTCTCTTTCACAACAATAAACTAGTACAATGTGATATTGATTTTAATCCCATTGTCCTTAGAGTTGTAGATGGATCAAACTTTGATGTTTATAATAACATTTGTATTGTATACAATAAGGATACACTTCAATATTTCAATACTAAAGAAGAGGAAATAAGAGTGATGAAATTTTCTAGTTTTGCTCTGTATAATATTACAAAAGCTTTAATGATGCCAAGCTATGTTTCAACATTGTTTGTTCATTCTCAGGATAAGGATCATTCATCTGCGTGTATAATTAATTTGGATGGAATACCTTTGAAGATTGATGAATTTGATACACTTAATGATCCCATATGTTTCAAAATTACAGAAAAGTTCATAGTTATTGCAAATAGAAATTTTCTTCAGATAAAATATAAGAGAGAAAGCTTTATTATATGTTTGAATCAAAACCTACCATCATCTGTTTTGAAGGATAGTTTAAGACTCAACATTATTGAATCAGTTTATGATAATTACAAGGAGTCGAGGAGTATATTTCTTGAAAATCCATGCATATTTCTGAAGGGAGAATCTATCTTTGTTATTAATGGAAACGGCGAGTTTTTTAATTTTCAATTAAAACTCGAAATTAAGAAAATATTGGGTGTAAATATTTCCTTTATTGGAATAATAGGTAGGCCTAGCTGTGTTGATTGTAATGAAAATGTGTTTTGTATTGGATCTATTTACGATGATAGCATTTTATATACTTTTTCAAATATCCATGATACTCGTGAAAACAAGACTGAAATTGCTGCAGCTGATATATGCAAACTTAATACACACGAACATAATATAAACATCTACAGACAGAACAATATCGGCTTTGTAATTCATGAAAAAGCAAAGTTAAAAAATATCGGGTTAATTACTGGCTTCTCAAAATCTAATGGGCATAGCTTGGTACTGGCTTCTAGTAGTGGTATTTATAAAGCTAGTTTTAATATCGAAGTTCTAATTTATAAGAAATATAAAATTGATATGAAAATTACTAAAATAACAATCTTTGATAATGTTCCTATTATTCACACACAGAATCATGTGTTTAAAATCAATGATGAACTTGAATTGATTGAAATAATATATGATGATAAATTTAACATTTATTCTGAAGACAGATACACGGCACTTTTAGATAATAATGGCATCTTGAGTATATTCTTAAATGAGAAATTGATTAAATCCTTTTCTGGAGTAGCTGCATGGTGTTTCTATCAAGGCAAATTGGCTTTGTTGAAAAACAAGACTTTTGAATATATAGATATCTCATCGTTGAAAATACTATTTTCCTCACGAAAAATTACCGAGTTTGATAATGAAATTTTCAATGACGAAATTATAGCCGGGCCAGATATTCAGGAGATATTAATTCAAAACCAAGAATCTTTGCCCAATATGTTGGTAAACTATACAACGAGTGAAAAAATACTTGAAATTAGAATTTTTAAAAGCACCTTTAATTACTTTATTTTCAGAACTACTAAGCAGCTTTATATTTACAAATATAACTGTCAAAGATTGTTAAAACTATTAATACCTAGAGCTATAAGCTTTGTGAATGAAAGACCAGCCCTATTTGATTTAAAAAATTACATCTATTGTAGATCCAAGCATCCATGCATTATAGTTTTTGATCAAGACGTTTATGTTTATGACACAACAATTAAACTTGGATTTCCCATCTTATTAAATGGATGGATCTTTGCCACATCAAAAGGCCATCTTCTGAAATGTAAATTGGCAGAAATTGAAAATTTAATTTTCACTGAGAATTTAACACTTAAAAGGTTGTATTTATTTGAAAACGAAATAACCAAAAGGAATAATGAAAAAAATAAATCTAACGACCATAATAACCTCACTACTTCGGGAGATTCAAATTTACAATCCATAACTGAAAAATATCATAATGCAAATGAAACAAAATTAGTTAACAATTATACCGTTAATAAAAATGAAGAGAGCATTGATTTAATTGAAGACTATCGCGAAAGATTTTCAATAAAACATATGATCTCTCTGAAGGACTGCAATATCTTCACAGTTGCTAAACAAGTGCCTTTCTTTTATCATCCTTTCATCCCAATGGTTCATATCAGTGATAAACCTGGCGGAAAGTTACATTCAGAGCCTATAAATAAGGAAGAAGCAGAATATGTCAATAAAAATCCATCTCTGAGAGGTAGAACACTGCAATATTCAATAGAACTTAGAAGTCCAGATTTTAAACTAATTTCAAGTACAACTATGGAAGAAAATGAACTCATTTGTGATATAAAGGTCATATTCAATAATTTTTTAGTAGTTTGCACATCATTTCCTGAAGGTGAAGATAAAATGACTAAAGGAAAGCTGATTGTGTATTCATTGGTAAATATAGTACCCGATCCTGACAATCTGCATATTACCAAGAAGCTTAAGCTAATATGCTCAGAAACACTCAAAAATCCATGTCTTTTCTGTGAGGAAGTTAGATCATTGATATCTGTATGTGTAGGAACTAAATTAATGATCTATGAATTTAATGAAAATACAGGATTAGCTGCAGTTGGAAGACATGAACTATCCTTGCTTTGTACTTCTCTTTTTGTTACAAAGAATTTAATCGCAGTTTCGGACATTATGAATGGAATATATTTTTTCTTTCTGAGACCAAGGGATCCATTGAAACTGCATCTTTTAGGTCGTTCCTGTCTTGTTCCAAATTGTAGGTTTCTTGGAGGAATAGATTTTTGTCCTAGTTTTGAAACAGATGCTTTGCAATTTTCCATTGTGTCGGTTTGTAAATATGGTATCGTCAGAATTTTTACATATTCACCGTATGATCCTGTTTCGAAAAATGGAAATCAGCTAGTTAAAAGAGCAGAAATTGTTACTAAATTAGCAAATCCACTATATAAAGTTGTATTTGGGCAGATTAATGAGTTTGAATCGATACTGCTATCCTCTAATGTGATGGTGCTCCTTCGTGCCATCAATTTTCCAAAACTTCAGGCCATTCAGCATTGCATTTCAATATTTATATCTAATAGATGTGGTATTAATGTCAGAAATTATTTAGAAACAGAAGAATTCGTTAATCCTGAGTGTAAAAGCGTCATATGTGAGAAAATACTTTTGGAATTTTTTTATTTCAAGCCATTAGTTCAAGAAAAAATATGTAAGCTTGTTGGATTAGATTATTTTAATATTGTTGAGTTGATAGAGGATTGTCTACATACTTTCATATCCAGAAAACCAATGTAATAAATTAACTTTAGCCTAACGTTACAATTAATAAATTTATACTAAGCATATGACTGTATTTATATAGCAAGCTAAACAAAAATTTGATTAAAGATTCAACGACAAGTAAAATTCAAAACATTTACCTCTAGAAATGAATAAAAACTTGTAAAGGGATTTTCATTGATAATATTTTCAGGTTTGAAGTGATAAAACATGCTGAAACAAATGCTGTGTTTCACGTTTGAAAAATTAAAATATAAAAAAGTTTCATAATATTCTCACAAATGCTTTACTTATTAGTTCAGCTGGGTAATATATTGGCAGATAAGGCTGTATATCAAAACTACGGCGAATATGGCAATCTTTTAACTAATCCATATAATGACTCTATGGATTCAATAGTTAATAATCCAGGTAACTCTAGCAGACTTTTAGATCTTCTGAGCGGTACTATCGATTTACCAAATAATGTTACTTCTGCAGATGAATTAAAAAATCAATCCAACTTACAAAAAAGTAATTTAAAAGAACATGAAGAAGAGGAGCATTCGCAAAAATCAAAATTGAATGACTATAATAGTATAAAAATGAAGGATGATGATAGCTCAGATGATGAGTCTCAGAAATCCGAAACAAAAACACAGAAAAACAATTCAAAAAGCAAAAGAAATGACACAAAGAGTGATAACGGTAATATGTCTGACAGCGAAGATGACTAAATTCTTTATGTTAACTTTTGGTATTTAATTGAATTGTTAACTTTTATATTTTTACCTTTTACCCCTGCAATGGAGCATAAAATTGAATGGGTACTTTATCCTTTTAAAATTCACAAAAAAGATGACGCACTTTTATTTAGATTGGAAAATGGATTTGAAATGCGTTTTACAAGGGACATTTTCTCAAAACGAGTATACTCAACACAAGTAGAGTTATATAGAAATGTAATTGAACTAGAAATTACAAATGAAAAGGTGAAAATAATTTCTCAGATACAAAAAATTAACAAATTTGAAACGCCCGCTGATTTTTATGTTCCAATTGTACAAAGTACTCGTGAATTTTACGAATCAATCCATTCTTCTTTAATTAATAGTAATTTGAATGTCTTATTAGAAAAATCTATTGAGGTGAAAAAATACATCAGAGAAAAAGGATTTCCCGAAATACCCTTACCAATTACAACAACATCCTCCCACTTCGAGAACTTTGATTCTGCAGTTTGCAAACATGATAATTTTCCAAGAATACCGATTAAACGGGTAAAGTATGGTGAGATGATTCCAGATTCGTATCCTGAAGAATCATTTCAGTTACTCAAGAAATATCTCACCAAAGAGCAATTTGAATTACAAGATTCATTTTACAGAAGTTTCTTTACATCAACATCAATTGCTAGGTTCAAAGCAGTCGCCAACCAATACGAAAAATGCAAATTACTATTTAAACAGTCAATAAGTTTGAATATGCTAAAGCGATGTATCGGCTTACATGCCTATTTTACTACATCTGGCCCTTGGAGAAAGTGTTGGATACGTTTTGGATTTGATCCTTCTCTAGATCAAAATTGTTACCAGTTTCAGCTGGTTGAAATGAGATCTAAAAAAGCAAGTTTTCAAATATTTCAGAGACCTGAAATTATAGCAGAAGTTAGTAAGAATAAAGAATGGTATTTGCTCAAGGAATGTGATCCTATTGATGGGTTTATTTCTAAAGCCTTGAAAAATTTTATAATTTACACAGTTGATAACGTCGGAGTTAAAGAAATAGACAAGAAGATTGAAGAAATGTTGGACTCTGACTTTGAGCTCTTTGAAATGTAGCTAATACAAATTCTAGGTTAGTTTGCGTATAAAAATGGAAGTTTTTTTGGCAATCCAAAATCATAGTAGTTTCAAATATTGACTTGATGGATATTAAACATATAAATAAATTTATCTACATTTTGTTCAATAGTTAGTGCAATATTAAAATAAACTTATTAATACATAACTTTCAAACTATACAATTATTATATTAATAAATTAAGGAAAATTAAAAAATAATTAATTAGAGGATATAAATCGAATTTAATATTCTTGAGAATAGAATTCAACACTATGATCAATTTTAAATGCCTCAGAAAGATATGTTTTCATGTACGGGACTTTGGAAATAGAACCCAAGAGTAATCTTTCAAATTCCTTCTCCTCAGATGAAAGATCAACATCAACCTTCTTGTTCTCATTGGGTTTACTTTCATATACATTCTCAACATTCAAATTGAAATCAGAAACCTCAACTTTGGATCTTAATTTGAAAAGATATCTCTCATCTATTTTAAAAAGAGAAGCACCATTGAGAGAGCTAATTCCAGAGACGAGTGCTTTAAATTCTGATAGTTGTTTAATGAATACAACTCGCTTACCCATGTGCACTCCTTCCAAAACAACAACAATATCACCAGGAGTAAGATCCACTCTAGAAATTCTCTGAGCAGGTTTGTGCTTCATAAAAAACCTTCTCTCTTTCTCAGAAATATCTTCTGTATCATAAAGATCCTCCTTAAGTATTTTATTGATAGTTGGATTGAATGTTTTTAAGCTGTTAATCTTGTAGTTAACCATTGGGGATAAAATTTTACCAAAAATTTTTTCAATAAAAGAGAAGACCAAAAAAGTAAACTGAAAATAAAGTTTTAATTTTCAAAATTACATTGATTTGTTACACTGATGCTCTATTCATGTAATTAATCATCGTTTGTTATCAGTGTCTGGTGCTTTGTGTTCAATACAGCATTTGATACTTTCGCCCCTTTTAATAGGTTCTAACTTTGTTGCATTTTGTACAGAAAGTCTTCTATGCTTGTCCAAATGCATCATTTCTCTTAATATCTGTAGTGATTTTTCATCAACAAGATGACCAAACTTATTTTGAAATAACGCTTCAAAAGTCATTGTTTTAGCATATTTCTGCACATTATATAGATCATCCCAGGGGTATTTAGTTTCAGGTTGACCAAAAGTAGATAGGATCAATTTACACTGTGAAATCTCATCGTCACCCTTAAACACAGGGGATCCATTTTTAATTTCAAGGATTATACAAGCAACAGCCCATGCATCAACTTTATTTGAATATTGAGTATCACCTAACAATGTCTCTGGGGCTCTGTAGTATAGCGAACTTATCTTATTTGTCATATTTAAACATTCTTCCCTTGCCATACCAAAGTCTATTATTTTTATATTACAATTCTGATCTAGGAGAACATGACTTGGTTTAAGATCTCGATGTATTATTGCTCTTGAATGTATGAAACTAACAGCGTGTAATAATTGATACATAATTAAAAAGAAATGATTATCTGTGAATGAAAATTTAGATGAAATGAGATATTCTAAAGTAAACGGCATGTACTCTATCACTAAATCAATACATTTGTTTATAGCCCTAATATGATGTAATTCAACTACGTATTTCGATTTTAATTTTTTCAATAATTTTATTTCACGTATGGCATGCATCGAAACACCATTCTCTGCATGAATATTCATTTTCTTGATTGCATAATGGTTTTTAGTTGTTGTATCTAGTGCTTTGTATACTTTTCCAGAAGATCCTTTCCCCAACAATTCCTCAATCTTAAGAGAATCCATCTGGGCTAAATTTTTAAGAAAGAATTTTAATTATTCAATTTTAAAAGAATGCCTAATAAATAGGCAATGTATAGTTTCCTAGATAAATAGCCAAAAATTTCTCTCATATCTTATCTGTGCTAGTTTATTAGAAGAGATGCATATAATTTATTTAACACTATACAAAATATTGTATTTGCTACGTTAAACATATGATAAAAATAAATTTTTGTTGTTGTTTAATTAAACTAAGGCAGTGCTGTCTTTTCCAAACGATCCCTTCATTGGCTTGTCGCTATTACGATTTGTAATTACGGTATCAACTAGTCCTGAAAGCGAGTCAAGCTTTCCACTATTCTCCTTTACATAATCAAAGATGTTGTCTGAACCTACCAAATCACTCTTTTTATTATCCTTGATTAATGGATTTTCAACAAGTCTCGAAGCCTTTAAAATAGTTTCTGGTAACTCATTTTCCATTGAATCCACAAGCTTGCTTTTGCTATTTCCAGATTTTGATGATGATTTCTCACTCTTAGGAGTCGTAGCATTGCTATCATTTTTAGGATTCTTGTCCTTTTCTTCCGTTTTTTTGCTGTCAGTTAGCTCGCTATTAGATTCATTCTGTTTGCTACTTGGATCTGTCAGATAAGAATCAATTGGTGATTTAGTAGCATCCGAAGATCCTATCAAATTATTTTTTTCTGTATCTGATGAAGATGTCCCACTATCCTTTTTTTTCTTTTCACTGCTGTCTTTACTGCTAGATTTATTATCTCCAGCATTAGAGTCCGTTTTATTTGTAAGTGAAGATAACTTTGAGTTATTGTCCTTCTTTGAATTATCTTTTTTATCATTCTTAGAGCTAGAGTCATTTGACTTTTGATCAGCACTAGATTTTGTGTCTGTTAGTGACATTATTGAATTTCTTTCTCCGTCTGATATTAGTCCAGATGATCCTGTATGGAATCTGGTAAGTACTTCTGTGGCACAGAACAAGATTGTCAGCATACTTGTCTTCGTTTTTCCAATCATTGTTTACTTATGTAGAATCTATTATATAACCTACTTGAAACATGTTTCAAATCATTATAAAAACAAACATGATTAAAATTACAACGTATTAAAGGTACATTCACATTTGACAGATATTACAAAATTTTAACAAAATTTATTTACAAAACATAATAACAGCTATTGAAATGTATCAAGTATTACTATAAAAATTGTACTGTCAATACATAAAATTTACTTAATGCAATAATACTTGTCTCTTATTAACAATTTATTTTTATATACCATTTAAATATGATTATATCAATCCTTACCTAAGTTTTCAGATATGGCCCCTTCGAGAAGCCCTAATAATCTTTATTTTTAGAAAGAATACTAACGCATTGGATTACATCAAAGTCAAATAGAAATTAACCATGTTATATATGAACTAGAATAAATAAAGTTACTTAATGATTTTGTTTTAATTATAACAATAGTCTACTCTTTACTTTCTCATACTGTGCAGGTGTTATTTCTAATATGCTATGGCCTAATTCCTCTTCACTGGTTGAATTGTACGGCATTGCAAAAAGAACATCATCCACCATTTTCAAAGAAATTAGTTTCATTCTAATTGCAAGAGCAAGATTAAAGGCATTTATAACGGTTTTGGAATATGAATTTAGATCAATTATTAGATTGAAAAATTCAACTTTATCCTTTTTTAAAACTTCATTTCTGATATCTTGTAATATAGCATTTGTCTCTGCAACATCATCAATTTGATCTAATGTTTTAGGCATTAGTGTAAAACCTTTAGCTTGGTCATATATTGTTCTCTCTCTTCTTACGATAGATGGCTGAGCAGTATAGTTAAAAATTAATCTATCAATGAAAACCATTGCTTGGGAATTGGATTTTACAAAAATGAAAAAATCATCCAAAAATTCACTCTCAGCCATTTGAATCAGTCTTTCAAGTGTCAGTTCATTCCTAACCTCCTTTAAAAGTATGTCTTGCTGTAATTTTATCGTCTCTAATATAATGCTCGTATCCTTGTGTAAGTCACTCATGCAAGATGCTGACTTAAGCAGTTCATCGAGCTTTTTGAGTATTTCAAAAAGAATAGTCCAATCATCAAGAATGCATTGCTTATTTTCATTTATAAATTCAAAGATTTCGAAGTATGTCGAGGGGATCATTATATTTTTATTTGAAATATTCTCCATACTACTTCGGGTGTCCAAAAAAGTCTTATTTAAAAGACAAAACAAAAGTAAATAAAAATTTAAACCTAACTAACTATTGCCAGATTATTAATAGTATCAACGGGCGACTATTGACGAGAATTAATGTATATCCACCAAACGACATATTAAATCATAATTTATAAAACAATAGGTAAAAATTTACCAATTGATAGACCAATGCTATGCATTATTTATTTAATATTTGAAAATTTTTGCTACAAAAAGGCGAATTAAAATCAAAAACTTTCAGCTTACAATTCAAAATAGGCTCTATTTTGATATTTATAGAATCTAAAATAAATATACCGGAATTTGAATAGACATACAAACAAAGATTTTCACAATTAGATACTCTTAAGTGCCCTGTTTTTAGTGTAATTTCCGAGTTTTTGACGTTTTTTAGGAATACAGTTTCTTCGCATTCAATCATTTTTACCATTATTTCATTGCAATCTATTAAATCAATGTTCTTACATTGAATGTCTGTAAAATATTGATAATTGATGCATTTTGAAATTAGTTTGTCGTAGTTTCCACTAAAATCACTCTTCATATCGAGCTTTAGTTGGCTTTTTTGTCTAGAATACTTTGTACTGTGAAGACTTATTTCTAACTTTGAGGAATACAATCTCTTAAGATTTAAAATCTGAGATTTTAAAATCTCACGCGTATGAGAAGATGATTCTTCGGCTAGTTTATTCTCTAAGGACTCTATCATTTTTCTTGCAAGGTCGAGATCACCGTTTTCTATGTAGTCCTTAATTTTTTCCATAGGGCTTCCCTCAATGGATTTCGTTGCTTTAGTCAGTGGAGGAAAAGATAGCATTTATACAGCCTGTAAATTAATGGATGAAGGTAACAAATTAGTAGCACTAGTTCATATTTTTACCATCGAAAAGTATTCTGACTCATATATGTATCAGACCGTTGGAACAGAAGCGGCAATACGTCTTGGTGAATGCTTGAATGTTCCAATATACTGTTTTAAAAGTAAATGCAAAGCAGTAAACACAGACTTGGAATATTCAGAATGCACAGAAGATGAGGTTGAAGATTTATATAATGCATTAAAGGCTGTTCTTGAGAAGCATAGTTTTCAAGCGGTTTCATCTGGTGCCATACACTCAACATATCAGAAAAATCGTGTAGAAAATGTATGTAAGAGACTTAATCTGACAAGTCTTACTCCATTATGGAAAAGAGATCAGAGGGAGCTTTTAAAGGAAATGATTGATTATGGAATTGATGCCAGGATTATTAAGATTGCCAGTCCATCATTGAGTAAAAAGTGTTTAAATGCAAATTTGAGAGAAATTAAGGAATATATGGACAATCAAAAAGTTAAATATGAGATGAACTATTGTGGAGAAGGTGGTGAATTTGAATCTCTAGTTCTTGATTGTAGACATTTTAAAATGAAAATGGTTGTTGGTTCATATGAAATATGCAGTCATCCTGATGAAAAAAACAGAGATGATGGTGTTTACTATCTTACATTACATAATTTATCCGTTATAGACAAGTAGATTTGTAGAGTATAATTTACTTACATCTCTCACATTCAAATGGCATATAATTATGAATATAGCTGATATTATACTTGATTTTAATATTGCAGTACCCAATAAAGAGATAAATGGCTAACTATAAGGAACACCACAAATATTGTGTATTATGTGTTTTCATTCAATTAAATCTGATAACTTAAGCTTTCTTCTGATGTTTTGAACTTGATATATGTCATATTCATCTATGTCTTTTACTATGAAACTTGAAATTTTATTGACTTTTAAAAAATAAGCTAGGCATAATGTCTTGGGGTCTGAGCATTTATGAATATCAGATAACTTGTAGAATATTTCAAATGATCCGCTATGGTCTATCTTTCTTTTAACAAGAAAATTTTTGACTCTCTCATAAATTCCTCTTAAATAATCCCTGCTTCTGTCTACATATTCAAATGTGTCTCTATAGATTTTTAATAATTTATGTTTTGATAAATTTGAATATTTTAAAAGATCAGATATTACAATTGGGAATTCTACTTGTTTTAGAATATGGTATAAAGCAACTATGACTTTGTCTTCTTTTTTGAGTCTATATTTAAATGTTGTGGTAAGTAACAAGTTCTTCAATGAGCTATTATAACCTTTCAAGTTTAACGGTGTGAGAATTTTCATAATAGCTGCATCATTCACTTTCATTGGATCTTGGATTGAAAATTTCATAGATGGACGGTAAAGTGAATGGCTACGCACAACTGGTCTTTGTGGTTGAAGCTCAAAATCTTCAAAGCATTTACCACAACCAGTACAAAACCCTTCAATTTGATTTGTATGCTTGCAATTATTTCCCTCAAATTCTAATTCTGACATTGACAAATTTTAGGCTAAAAAATCCAATTGATATAAATAATTGAAACACCGCAAATTCAAATACACATTATTGCTAATATTATAATATTTGGAACGAGGGTTTTATTTGATTTATTGTGAATTTCTAGTACTTAGTAAATAATTTTCCAAACATTTATATAGCCTATGTTGTACATTAAAACATTAACATATGAACGAAGTACGTGAAGTATCCGCATGGAAAAAATTATATTAAAAGTTATAATCGCCAATGCCTTAATTTAATCTAGTTCATTTTGCGCATTTTCCTCCAATTTAATTGGAAATACATTATCATTTTCGTCTCCCGCAAATACTTCATCGAGATTATTATATTCATTATATCCAAGCGATAGTACTTGCGAGCCTGGAGTATTAATTTCTGATATATATCTCAAAGCTAATTCTTTAGTTTTCCACGATTTAACAGTACAATCCTGTGAGGTGGTAACAATCCAGTCTTTAGCCAGACAGAAATCAACTAATGCCGATTCATGAAGCCTTTGGGAAATCATTGCTTTGCCTGGCATTCGTACATCATATATCTGGATATATCCTTCACAGTCTGAAACAAATACCAGATTATCTCTAATCTTCAACTGCTCAATGTCATAATCAAGTGATATATTTTCATTATTAATATTCAAGTATTTCTGTGAACCGAATACCAGATTATTGCCTTCGAAATCAAATCTTTCAATTGAAACATCATGGTTTTTCTGGGATCTGAGTCTCATTTCATTTATATCCCATTCAATAATCATCTTATCCTCTGAGCAGGACATAAGCTTTTCAAATTTATTTTTAATACCAGTGACAGGTCCAGTATGACCAATAAGGAGATATTGTGGAAGAACGGGAAAATCAACCATAAAATCATAAATCATTATGGCTGGTTCAAATGTTGCTACTCCTATTAGGGTATTTTTGATGAAACAACTATCAATAATTGTACTGAATACAAACATATCGTGGTGGACGAATATTTCAGTATCATCGTATCCATAAAATGCAACAGTACTTATTTCCTCTGTATTTGATGTACAGAATAAAATGCTATCTGTGCTCTTAATCACTGGTCTCTCTTCAGATAGCTTATCAGAAGAGTCAACATCTTTCCTGGGTAATATTGGTATCTGAAGATATTCAAGGTGCTCCTTTACACTTTCATTTGGTACAAATTCATTCAACTGTCTAATTTCGGTAGAGTTCGGCAAAAATCCAATTGTATTAATCATTAGAAGGAGAGAGGGTGATAGAAACTAGAACAACTTTGAGCAAAAAGTTAAAGATAAAATAAAGAGTATTAGAGTATATCATATTTAATTAATGAACTTCTAAGAAGTCTGATTGCAGCCACAAAGTATTGGTAATAGTATTTTTTGTATAAGGTGATGAGTAGATATTTATCGTTGATAAAATGGCTTAAACTGATTTATCCTTTATATCCGCAATGATCAATTATTTATTCATTATTTCAACCTCCTAATTTTTAGTTTTGAATTTCTTCTAATTTTTCTCCCCTCAAAAAATGAACAAAATTATCGTATTTGGTGCTAGTGGAGACCTTGCCAAAAGGAAAATAATGCCTGCGATAAGTAAAATGTGTAGTAAATCTATAAAAGTATACGGATATGCACGCTCAGATTTAGTCAAAACATATTCACAAGAAATCAAAAAATTTTATGACTATTCAATTAACACTGATATAAAGAGTTTTCCAGACAGGGTTACTTACATCAAGGGTGAATATACGGATCTATCCCCACTGAAAGACGTTATGGATGAAAACACAGTAGCATATCTTTCTTTGCCACCACATGTTTATCCATCAGTTCTATTTGAGCTTTCATCCTATAAAGTTGGGATAATCTTGCTTGAAAAACCTTTTGGAACTGGCTTAGAATCTTTCAAAGATTTGCTAAAGTTTAAAAATGATAAAATACATTTCGTGGATCATTACCTTCTTAAGCCGATGATGATTTCAATCTATGACATTTATGTGAAAACACCTAGCATTTTTGCTTTTCTGAATAAAACAAATATTCAAAGCGTAGAATGTTTGTTCTTTGAAAGTATTCTTGCGGAAGGCAGAGCCTATTTTGACGACAACGGAATGATTAAAGACGTAATGCAAAATCATCTTGTAGAAGTACTTGCATCTATTCTCTGTGATCATTCACAGGAAATTCTTGATGAATCAAGAACAAGATTTATTAAAAGTATTGATATTGACAATGAAAGATATATCTTTGGACAATACAAATCTTATACAGAAGAACTTAAAAAACCATCAAAAACAGAGACATTTGCTGCATTTAAATGCATTGTAAAAAACGATACATGGGAAAATGTTCCCTTCTTTATGGCGGGTGGTAAAGGATTGAAAAAGAAGACCACCGAGATTAAATTTAATATTCGAAAAGGTATATTTTGCCATATACTCAACTTAATCGCAAATGATGCTGATAGAAAAGTGTTTAATTCTATAAAGGATTCGGCCGTGTCTATTTCTTTAGTTTTTAATATTGCTCCTGAAAATGAAATATACCTAAAAATTAAAACCCAAAATGACAACATTAAAATTGTACTTTACACCTCGAATGAAATTAAAGAAATCTCCAAAATGAAAACAAATAACAGGCAGGATTATGAATTAATTTTCCAATGCATGATCAATGGTGATTACTTTCCAAGTGTTTCTTTTGAAGAAGCAGGTGAACTATGGAGAGTATTTGGGAATATTCTGAATGCGCCAAAACCATTAATATATTATGAACAAGGTGTTGAAATGCCTGAAGAAGTCTATGAATTTTTCAAGGGAGTCGACTAAAAGAAGCTCTTCATTCATAAATGATGAACTAGCAAAATTTATTCAAACAGATGATATTTCAGCTATAATAAAATAAACTACTTTTAATACAGTTCATTTGTATATTTATTTACATCCTTATAGGTATTAATGAAACTAATTGATTTTTACATTATTAGTCTCTAGTTGGCTTTGGATATCTGATCATTAGCCTCTATTACATTTACAGGTATACCTTCCTCTTTTATTCTTTGTTTTAATCCATCCAAAAATAGCTGTAATATCCTATCATCCACTCCTTCGGCAACACTTACCAAAGTCTTTAAAAGGTCGCTGTCAAAGGCAAAAGTTTTGCTTAATATTTCAACAAACCCCAATAATATTCTATTTACTTTTCTCAATGAATCCATTTCTTGTATCATTAAGTATTCTTTTTTTGTCCTTGATGTTGCCATTACTCTTTGATTAAATATTCCGTTTTTTCTAATCTCATTTTCAAGATTTTTTACTTTATTATCCATTTTTTTCTGGATTCCTGTTCTTTCAGCTTCTAAAAAACCAATGCTTGACTGCAGTCTATCGATTTTTGTGTTTAAACTCCCTATTTCATATTCTTTATCATATACTTGTGATTGCAACGAGTTGATCTGTCTATGTAAAGTGCTATTTACTTCCCTTAGAACTTTGATTTCATTTATAAGTTCTTGAATTCTACCAAGCTTATGTTCCATTGAGGGTAGAAGGAGAAAATTTGGAAATTTGAGATAAACAGAACTTAGCTTACACTATTAATTATCAATTAGTTATAATACAGCATATGTTTAATATAATAATTTATAGATCAAATCTATATATAAACTGTGTTATAATTGATGAATTAAAATTTTTAATTTTTTGTTTATTTTATACTACAATATGGCATATAAGCAATCACACACTTTTCAATACTGGCTGATTATATATACATGGATAAATATCTTTCATAAGTTGATTGACGATATCGTATCTTTCACGATATCCTTAAATTTGATACTTGGTTTGACCATTTTTAGGTTATTAAATTTAATGAAAAATAAAATAGAAAACCGATATAAATTCCAATTACTCCCAAAAATTTACCCCTAGGCTCTGTAAACGGAATTTTTCAGCATTCAATTTTTATTTATTAGCCAAAATTTATATGCACATAATTTCAGAAAAAACTATTTTATGAGTATGATCTTATTGTATACAAAACTTAATGATCATGCCATGGCTTTTCGAATTGCATTGGCTATCATTTTTTCATTTTATAGTCAGGGCTGTACAAAATGTGAGTTTGCCCGACTGCATTTTCATTATTTTTCCAAATATTAAAGTAAGCACCAGCCTTAATATAAGATTTGATATCGAGGTATACGTTCTGAAAATTAATAACTATGGGCTTGATATCACCTATATTTATTATATAAAAACATTGGATATAACAAGAGTTGACGCTATTCAATTATCATCTTTTTAAAGCTTATGGTACATTTTAATAGTAGTATTTTCTTCCTAACAGTGTAACAAATTTTGAATAGGTTCTCATCAAGCCTTTGAAAATTCCTGTTGTTAATTGGATTATAGGTAAAGCCAAGAAATACACAAATAACCAATACAATACACTGTAAAAGTACAAAATGAACTTGAAAAATATGTATTGCTCGGAAAGCCAGGAAAATCACCTAAATCTTTTTAAATATACTTTTATTTTGCTAGAACACCAATAAACGTAGCAATATTTTCATATAAAAACCATTAGTATTTGTTATTATATTATTTTCAAATATAAATGTACAAAATAAAGCTATATACTTTCAATACAATAGTTTTAAACTATAAAAAATATTCGTTGAAAACAAGGAGCTTGAAAAGAAATAGGCTTAACATTGTGGATCCAAATATCAAAGCAATCAGTTTGCGATCAAAAGTTTTAGTGTTTTGGTATTTATTCATTATTTTTAAGCTTAAATATGGTATGCTCAACATGACCGATATTCTGCTTGTAATAATTTGAACTTCCAGGCATTTTAATATTAACTGTTCCAATTACAGTATAGTTTGGAAAATTTTCAACTAATTTCTTCATATGTTCAGTCTGAAATACACAGTACGTTATTTTGGCTGTTTGTGTAGCCATTTTAATTAATGACAGGCTAGAACACTTTGATTTTTCAAGAATTGGACCAACAACAGCAATGTCGAGAGCATTTTTCTTGAATACCTGTGTATTTGAAACTATGAAATCGCAAGATACATTAAATTCAGTAACATTCTGCTTAATATTCTCATTGGGTGTATCGGAAACTATCGATGTGAGAAAAACGGGGTGGCAAAGATTTAATCCAACATGTAAGATTCCGGCTTCAGAATTTAGAACCAGGATGTGCTTATTTTCAATTGTATCTTCTTCTTTTAAAATGCAATTAAGTACTTCTGTAGCTATGCTTGGGTTAATATCGTGACTTTTGGTTTTGCTCGTGTGTTCTGAGAAGTTTTTTACTTTATTTAATTGATTTGCTAGACATTTCATTTTTGGGATTGATTGAAAATAAAAATTATTTAAGTAAATAATTCGGTTTATTATTACAAAATAATAAAGATTTAAACTTAGTAGTTCTTACGTAATGATAAATACTTAAAAGAAAAGTATTTTTAAATCATTTTGCAATATATGAAAATAAAACGACTGATTTAACAGTATTTTAATTATAAAGGAAAAGGCCGCTATCCTTTCTTCCAATTACCTTTGAATATGCCTCTTCAAAATCCTCCTGTTTTATTACATATCTACTTGCACGTACGGCTAACATTCCTGCCTCCTGACATACTGAGTTTATATCTGCACAGCTAAGTTTATCTGATCTTTTCACTATCGATTCAAGATCAACACTAGAATCAAGACTCATTTTAGCAATGATTGCATTAAACACTAATCTCTTCTGTCTTCTATCAGGTAGTGGGAATTCAATTTTACGATCTAATCTTCCAGGCCTTAAAAGTGCTGGATCTATTGTATCTGGTCGATTGGTAGCCATAATTACTTTAACATTTGAGCTTTGATCAAATCCATCCATTTGATTTAACAGTTCAATTAATACCCTCTGAACTTCCCTATCTGCAGAAGTTGAGGCATCAAATCTTTTAGTTGCAATTGAGTCTACTTCGTCTATAAATACGATAGATGGTGCCTTTTCTCTCGCTAGCCTAAAGACATCTCTGACCATCCTTGGACCCTCTCCAAGATACTTTTGAATGAATTCTGATCCATTTACGCGTATGAATGTTGAGTTAGTATGATGAGCTACCGCTTTGACTAACATTGTTTTACCTGTTCCAGGTGGTCCATAAAGAAGAACACCACGGGGTGGCTCAATACCAATAGCTTTATAAAGATCAAACTGAAGAATAGGAAGTTCTACTGTTTCTCTTATCTCTTGCTTTTGAACATCTAATCCACCAATGTCACTGTATGTAATATTCGGCTTTTCCTCTTCTCCTACCACAGGAATAGATGAATCTGCTTCTGGAGGTAAAACATCAACAATTGCAGAAGAATGTCTGTGGAGGGCAACTGTAGTATTGGGTACTAGTGCTTCTCTGTCTATTGTGCTGAGTATTCTCACCATAGCATTAGAACCAGCTGTACTCGACACTATTGCAGTGTTTTTGTCAATCATTTCTAAGAACTGGCCCATTAAAAGTGGTACAGATTTGACTCTATTTATCTCCTCTTTTGCTCTGGAAAGCTCTTTCTTAAGAATAGCTATCTCTTTTGCAAGATATTCTTTTCTTATCTTTAAAAGTTTTAATTGTTCTTCCTTGTTAAAACAATTTATGAATTTGTTTTTTACTTCCATTTTGTATTGGGGTAAGTATAAAGATTGGAAGTACGCAAATTTATGTAAAATATCGTGTATTTAAGGAAAGATGCTTGCAACCGAAAAAATGGACAGTCAATCAATAGTAGAATATAAATGTGTATAATTATCAAACAAGCATAATAAACTATTATATTAAGTAATAAAAGAATCATTTAAGACATTTTTTATATGAATTTAATATTTATACAAATTACCTAATATTAGAAAAAAATGGATGTTCTAATGCTTCTCCAGCTGTTATTCTCGAATCACATTTTAATTCTAACAGTTTCTTCAAAAGATCAATCGCATCATCATCAATCTCCATATTAGGATTTAGATTTTTAATTAAATATTCAAATGGAATACCGTCTTCTGATATTGATTGCAAATTAGATTTCCACGTTCTACCATAATATCTAGCTGCTTTCCTCATCTCAGAATGTCCAAATATCGTTCCTATTTCTACTAGTCCATCTATATCTTCTACACTTAGAAAAAATGGATATTGTCCTGTAAGTATACAAAGCATTATAACACCAACTGACCATATATCAATGGCTCTAGATTGATTTTCACATCTAAAAAGAACTTCTGGTGCACGAAATCCGCGAGTACCTGCCCTGGATGCCTTCATTGGTGGTCTTGCATCCCTTTCATAGTATCCTGGTGGTTTACTTGGTGTAACTATAGAATTAAAAAATATGAGTGGCTTGGTTGGTTTCTGAGGGCTAGATTCTTTCATTCTTTCATATTCTGCTAGCCCAAAGTCTATTAAACAGCCTTGCTCGTTTTCAATACTATATAGAAAGTTGCCTGGTTTTATGTCTCTGTGTATTATGTTCTTATCATGCATATGATTAACGGCTACTAGTAGATTATATAAGTATTTTTTTATATCTTGAGATGTACTTTTTAAGATGAAATCCTTAAAGTCTATATGGTCAATCAGAGGGAAGATTGCTAGAATTTGGTCTTCATTTCTCAATACCTCCAGAAGTTTTATGCAATTATTTTCACCATTTAATGTTTTAAGAATAGACAACTCTTGTAAAACACGCTTAGGAGATGTAGTCTTTGTAATTGCCTTAATTGCAAAAGGTTCACCTGTCCATTTATGTCTTGCTTTGTAAACTGAACTAAAAGACCCTTCACCGACTGACTCTTCTATTATGTATTTATATTCACAAAAACTAAGATATTTTGGTGCTTTGAACGACGATTCGTCAACCATGGGCTTAAATTTGGTCTATTTCTAAAAGAAACAAAATAATGAGAATTTTTAAAGAAGTTAAGTTAAAATTAACAGTATTCAAAAATATGAATCAATGGCATATAGTTTGATCTAGTAATTAGATTTATCGGAAAATAAATGATTATTAATAATTTACTCGTTTTGCTTTGTTAAATCGCTAACAAACACTGCTTTTGGAACCTCTTTTCCACTTGAAACTAATGACGCACTCACTACATCTTCCTCAGAACTTGCTTCACGTGTTTTGTCTGGTTTATTAGCTGATGAATTTGTGGATTTTGAGCTGTTTGGTTCCATAACCTTAGGCCAATTATCTGATTCACACATTTTGACATTTGAAACACTACATTGATCGCTATTTGATTGCAAGTTATAGTTTGATTGAAGCATAGATGTGTAGCAATTATTTGTATTTTTAAGACAGTTATTTACAGATGGTCTCTGACAATCTGTTAGATTATTAATTGTGCAGTCTGGGGATCCAGGTATGAAATAAGGAAGATTAAATTGCATTGTAGACTGTTGAGGGCAAGAGCATGACGTATTCCCAGTCGATATACCATCTAATACTTTACCTAACTCATAGCAATCACAAGCTATATTCGACACACCACCATTATACCCACCAGAATATGGATAGCCATGACCTCCTGGATATGGTGACTGACCATTAAATTTCCCAGAATATGGCGATCCACCACCAGTACCGGGATAATGTCCATTATGTCCTCCGTAATGTGAAAATCCATCTGGATGGTATGAGTGGTCAAATGGAGTATTGCGTGAATGGTTGTGACTAAATGGATTAACTCTACCAGGAACTGAATTACCTGCAGTATTAAAAATGGCAGGTGGAATATGTGGTTGCATAATTACTTTGGTAGAAACACTAACTACAGTCTGTGGAGGCTGCACATATGTTCTTGCTGGTCCTGGAACTACAACAGTTCTTGTAACTGGATTCAGAGTTTTATTAATTACTATTGTACTAGGTGGATAATGAACCTGTTGCTGTAAAGTTTTAGTTTCTGGAGGTTGATAAATTACCTGTGGTGGTAAGGTTTTGATTATTGTCTCAGGCTTGGATGTTTGAATAATTGTTGTTGGAATCTGGAATACCAATGGTGGTAGTGTTTTAGTAATTGGTTTAGCATGTCGTGTAAATGTTACCGTTTGAGGAGGTGGAATAACAGTTACAGGTGGCTTTTCAACGACGTTTGTGACAACACTTGTAACTACAGCGGTAATTTTGTCCTTAACAAAAAATGGAACATTAGTCCCAGGAATTCCATTTGTTTTACCTGTTATCATTTTTGGTACTGGTGGATATTCCATGTGACGATGGCCACCATGTGGATAAAAACCGTTTGAGCTGTATCCAAGTCCACCCTTGAGATAATTATTGTAGAATCCTCTACCATCATAAGATCCTGGCACCCCTGAAAAAGCATTGTCCAAATTAATATTTGCATTGTCAGCATATTGTTCCAAACATTCAATTTGATTATTAATATCATTCATAACCATTTGATCTCCTATTATGGATGATATGCAAGATTCGAATTGCTGAGATGCTTTACCGCCCGCACAATTAGTATTTTGTTGATTTTGTATGTTCTGAGAGCATTCCACTTTGAGAGCAGGAATATTAGTAAACGGATTATTTGGCCATTGAGATATATTCGTTTGAGAATATTCAGAACCAACTTTATTTTCACAACTAGTGTCTGCTGTGCTTTCGCAGTTAGGTCCTAGTGAAAGACTCGATAAACCTTTAACTAACGGTATATTAAGAAACAGCATACAAAAGTATACATTTTTTCTTAAATATTTTGAACAAGTTTCATCTATTTTATTGAAACAGTGACATTTAAGATTTGTAAAATTAAAACTTTGATGTGTAAATCTATTCATAATTTTCATATGTCATAAAGTAGCTAATATGAAATACTTGTTTGATATATAAAGCAGTATCATACAATTAGTCATCAACTTTATGGAAGATAGTTCTAAAGGTTATATCTTAGAGAAGAACGTGCAGTTTATCCATAGCATAATTCAACGGTGCTTATATAGTAATTTGTTTGCTGAAAGCTATTCATTTTAACCTAATATTAACTATTATTTTAATAAATCCCATACCACACCAGTATTTAAATTAATTCAATTAATTCTCATTGTTTATTGCTCTTTATTGTTTTTGATCTTCAAACTCTCCAAACAAAACTTGTTTATTTTAAAAAATTTTATAATCTCTTGCAAGCAAACAAGGGTGCATGGGAGCAATACCATCGATTCTCAAGAAAAATTTAAAAGAATTATTTGCATCAATCAAAGGTAAAGGTAAAGCATCATTAGCTATTTTGGGACTTGACTCCGCTGGTAAGACTACATTGGTCAATCTGTTTAAGAATGCAGACAGTGGCAGAGATTTTAAAGCTCAGACACAACCTACACTTGGATTCAACATGGAAGAAGTTAATTTTGCAAATACGAACATTAAAATTTGGGATATAGGTGGACAGAAAGTTTTGATTGATTTTTGGCATCAATATGTCAATGATGTAGATGGACTAGTTTTTATGATTGATATTGCTGATGAAAAGCGTTTTAAATACTCTTTCGAGGCATTCACGACACTTGTTCCCCATCTTAAAGATAACCTACCTATTCTTATATTTCTAAATAAGAAGGATATATTTCGAGATAATCCAACTGAAATTAGCCAAAGAAAAGCATCAATTGAAGAAACATACAAGATCGACAACCATACTAGTATAACAGATTCTTACATGAAGGCTGATAGTAAAGTATTTAAGGTGAAAATATCTGAGGTATCTGTTTTAGATGACCTCGATTCAATGCAAAGAAATATGGCGCTATCATCTGTTAGCGTGTATCCTGGATTTAAATGGTTAATTGAAGAAATTAAGAGTTATGGAATGCATAAGTGATATTAAACATTCATTTATACTTTAATAATCTTGTTTTGTGCTTTTTAATATGGATACTGTAATAAGTAATGTCTATAATATACGAAGAAATTGTCTTTGATATTATACTTATTCTTATCTTTGATTAGTTCATTTATTTTCTATAGTGAAGATATGTTTTTACACATTTTTTAGGCTACCCATGCATTCTATCCTCTTTCAAGACAAAATTGCTATTTCTGACATTTGTACATTTCAAGATAAACTAATAGTCTCCACCTATCAAAATACACTCAAAGTATTTGAGGAGGCTGAACTCAAACATACTGTTGATCTTCCAGTGTCACTTACAAAAATATGCCAATTTAGAGACAAACTTTTAGGAATATCATATTCTCAAGGTTTGTTAGTTATCTTAAACTCTATGTTTACAATCATTAGTATTATTCCTGGGTTTAAGCAACCTACTTTCATTTACTCTAATAATAAAATTGTCATTATCACCACATTAGACTCTGAAATACTCATATTAAAAGAAAAAAAATATCAAAGTAATATTGAAGAGCATCTTTTTGAAGTAGCTTTAAGAAAAAAGACACAAAAAGTATCTACTGCATTATGCTTTTTACAAGAAAGAATCTGTCTTGGATTTGAAAGCACTCTTTCAGTCTTTGATAATAAGCTAAATGAAGTATTAACCAAAGATTATTCTTGCTGTATTAATTCTATAGCTTCCTGTGCAAATAATTTAGTTATTGGCCTAATTAACGGCAAAATTCATTTTGAAGACATTCAAAATTTTGAAGAATCGTTTGCTTTTAACTCACATATATTGAATGGCAAGAATACAAGAATATTTTATCCAGTTACCCAAGTTTATTTTGATACTTTTCTTTTATCGTCAGGCTATGATGGAAAGGTAATCAAATGGGATATAGCAAATAAGAAACAGACCTCAATTATTATTGATACTAACAAGTTTGTAAGAAAATTTGAGATTTGCAGAAATTACTTGTATTGTTTGATTGAAGATGATCCAAATGAGGCGTTAGGTAGGGCATTTCAATCTGTTTCTTTGATTCCACTATAATTTATAAATAAAAAATTATATTAAAAACTCTATAAAAAGAATAGTTATTTAAAAATTAATAGTACAAAAATGGAAGGACATTCCAGCCAAGCATTTGTTAAATCACCTTCTTGACTAAATTCTTGCTGTAAAATTGCTGTGCCCTTCAAAATTTCATGTATTCGTCCTTCAATGCCCTCAATGCTACGTCTCCCCCCACCTCTATCCTTTCTATCTTCCCGTCATATACCAGACAGTCTATCAATGTGTTGACATCCTCAACTGTCAGCACAACTTCGGAGATCCCGCTTGTCGAGATAAACTCTCTTACCATCCTTAGTTTTACAAGATTGTCAACTTTATTGAGTACAAATGGCCCTTCTGGCTTTCTGACATATTGATAGATTTAACCAGCAATCTAAGTTATTTTTTTCAATTATACTAGCAAGATAATAAAATATCAGATAATCTATGCTGAATTTATGAAAAATTTTTAATCTTTAAATAAATTTTAAGGTATTCAGCATGTTTATATTATGTATCTAGGAGATATCCTTGAAATACCCATGTAGTCTTCAAAGAAGAAAATAAGATGGCTTATTTAGCTTTGCACAAGACTATCAGATAAAATTTGTATTAGAAAGATCACATCTGTGCAACTTTATGCTACATAAGTCTTATAATTAAGAAAAGCAAGCAATTTTAACATACAAATATAGAAACTATGACATACTGGTTTGGATATTTCGTTAAATTTGAGTAAATCAAATACACACATTTAATTATATGCATTCCAAGTGATCAGTTTCATGAAGTTTTAATGATTTTATATTGCAAATATTAAATCTCAAATTATATGCTCCAAATGTTCTTTATACATGTTCATGCCCCTCTTATATTCAAGTTCTTGGCAATGCAGCAATTCAATTATGATATATAGCTAATAGGTAAATGAAATTTTTGTTTAAATATTGAAGTAGCAGTTTCTGATACAAAAATATTAATTCAAAAGCAAACCATGGTTCTATAATAATGCGTTATGGTATGTTTGGTAAATTAACATATAAATTATAACAGAAGAATGCTACTTGAATTAGAAAATTAAAATAGACTGAGTAATGGTAATAATGCATTTAGAAATGATTCGAAGACGTAGTAATAATAGTATTAAAGCATAGTAAGCAACAGCTTATGATGTATACCAAATCTTTACGTACATGGATTGTAATTGTAGTAATCATGTAAAATATACTTAAAATTACCACGCTACCAATTTTGTAAAATGATTGATAAAAAGTGATTTATAATAGCTATAAATAACAATAAGTTGAATACTTATTAACGAATATAATCAACAATGTAAATTAGTATTTTAAGTCATCAAATTCAACGTGTTACTGTAATTTGAACTGCAAGTCCTTTTATATATAGCTCTCATTTTTCCTTGTTTGGATTGTTAAAATTTTTTAAAAAATTTGCACCCTAGAATGATAGCAAAGAATTTGACGATAAAAGATCGCTATAACATCAGAGGTATTAAATTTGATGATGCTTTAGACTTTAAACCAAAGAAAAAAACAACCTTGAAGGATCTTCTAAGTATTAAGGAAGAGAAACCATCTCCATGCAACATTGTGAAATATGGATTGAAAAGCGAAGTTTCAGCAAAGACTATGGAGAAAGATAACACTCTTATTTTCATATGTGATGTTACAGCAACGAAACCAATGATAAAAACTGCAATTGAGGAGCTTTATGGTGCAAAAGTTATGAAAATCAACACTTTAAATATTTTCAAGAAGTATGCAAAGAAGGCCTTTGTGAAATTTGCAAAAGAAGGTGAAGCAGTCGAGGTTGCTACTAAAGCAGGAATTCTATAAATTTCTTTTTGGAATTGTGTCCCATCTCCAATATCTTATTTTACCTTAAATATATTGATCATAAATATTACTCTTACAATTATATAGTTCAAAATATTATTTGATAATTAAAAATATCTAAACTCGTATACATATTCAAGTGTTTTACGTATACTAATTTATTTGTATAGATAGTTCTTTTGGTTTCAGAATATAAAATCATAGCTTAGTAACAAACAATGACCTCAGAGAGACTTCCAGTTATTTCAACAAGAATGAATCATAGAATTCTCGATCAAAGATTGAAGAGCGTTCAAAAAGGATTATCTCTACTTAAATGTAAGAGTGATGCACTGCAAATCAAAATTAGAGAAATGGAAAGTGAATTGAAGCAAAGAGAGCAAAATGTTAAGTTACTATTTAAAAATGCATTTAAAATGATTTCAAAAGCAGAATTATATGGATCCGATATGAAAATAGTTGCAAAAATATGTACTGAAGCATGCCCAAGTCTTGAATGCGAGTTTAATAATGTTTACGGAACAACAGTCGTATGCTTTAAATTACGAAGAAGAAAGTTTGATAAAGAAATTATGTGGAGAAATGGATATGTTTTGAGAGAAGCTAAGTATGCCTTTGACGAATTATTACATGAACTTGTTGATCTTTCAACAATGAAAAATTCATTAGAAGCTGTCAAATATCAACTAGAATCTACAAATAAAAGAAAGAATTCGCTTGAACACAAGATGATACCAAAACTTGAAAGTACAGTGAACTACATTGAAAGTGAGCTTGATGAGCTAGAAAGAGAAGAGTTTTATAGACTAAAGAAAGTTCAAGAAATTAAAGAGAAATGAAATAGGCTTTTATTAATTAAAGGAAACATGAAATGGTATCTATTAAAAAGTGCATTAGGCATGAATGGTACTAAAAATTAAAAAAATTAATGTTGCTGAATGGAAATCTGCAATAATTAACTGAATACATTATTAGTTAAACGAACAGTTAAATAATACCATCCTTACTAATGATATTAGCATACTGATTATGTTTTAACAAGATCAAGTTTATTAAACTTCTTTTTCATTTCTAATAGTTTCAAACTCAAAATTACCAATCTTTTCCCAGCCGTTGTGATTCATAAAGTATAAATTCACTGACCCGCCTGAATATGCATCCCTATGGCCAGCATAGAATATAGCATCCTTTCCAAGCGCGAGTGCCTCTTCCTTTGTCATGTCATACTTATATCTAGCAGATAAGATTCCTAAAGCGATTGTTGAGCCACTACCTACAGAAAAAATATGATTTTTAATACGCGCACCTTGGTCAGTCACATTATAGATTTGAGGCCCATCTTTGTCGTATCCACATAACATTGTGCTCATGGATAACCCATATCCTTTATATCTATATACACAGTTGCTCAGAAACATACTTGCCGCAGCAGCAGATATTCTAGTGCCATTTTCAAGTTCATATCTTTTTGCGTAGAGACCTGTTAGCTTCTCCCAATAATAACAATCTGCTGCACCTCCAGCCATTGTTCCAAGAAGATATTTGTTAATCTCAATCACTTTATTCACTGTTTGTGATGCTATGTACGAACCAGCAGTAGCTCTTGAATCAACAGCTATGACCATACCTTCTTTAAAAATAAATGCAAGTGTTGTTGTTCCATGCTCTGGTTGAATTTGATGTTCAATAAATTTAGCACTAATCCTTCTTGTGCCTACTTTTAGAACATTATTTTCGAGTGACAACACCATATTTTTTAGTGTGGGTTTCATTTTAGGAGGGCAGAACAACATAAGATTTTAATAAATTTTGACTACAGTGAAAGTCTAGACAAAAGCAAAGATAATTAGCTATATTAAATGCTTAATGGTTGATCATTACATGTTTATTAATGAGAACGGAATGCTAATAAAAATTTTAACAGACTAAAGTTGGTATTATCATTAGATAAAAATAAACTACCAATAACGTTCAATAGTAAATCAATTAAAACTTCTCAAGTTTCAATTTATGCACAAAAAATTTTGTTGCCCATGGAACTGCTAGGCGTTGAAAAATTCGTAGCTTTGCGAGGTGTGCTGGGATGTCCACTAATCGATGTCCCATCGGAGTTCTTTAGTGAAATTGATGACTCAGAGATTCTTGAAATTGTAGCGCACGATGATAATCTTACTATTCCAAACTCTCTCCTCTATCATCTCCCTAAATCAGAGACATATAGTTTGAAGGAGCTGAAAAACTATAAGGAATACGATATAAGATTGAATTTTGAAGCTTGGAGGGTTCTTGCATTTAATAATTCACGACTTCATGCTGGAAGACTGGCACAATGTGTGTCTATACTTATGACCAATCCCGATGGTGTAACCAGAAAAACAATGAAAAGCTTAATTTCTAACTCCGAAAAGAACATTCATAAATGGATACAGCAGTTAGTAAAAGAGAAAGTCATATATATAGAAAATAACCATGGAAATGAAATATTAAAATTCAATTTTGATATAATAGAAAGAATAAAAAAGTTTCCAGATGATGTTTTCACAAGAAACGAAGCATCAGCACTTAATTCTGTTCAACAAACTACTCATTCTAACAATAATGAGACAGTTGCAATAGCAACTAAGAAAAATGGAAGTCCAAAACTTGCCAATGGAGTAATACAGCAGGCTGAAAAAACAATTAAAGAGCGTGGAAATGTCATACCAGTCAAGGATTTACAAGCATCTTTAATGTTAGAATCAGACACCATGGAATTATTAGTGGATGAATTGGCAGGCAGACTTGACTATCAAATACATCAATTAAATAGTAAGCCTAATATAATTGAATATATTGGAGAAATGAATACTAGGTTTGTGAAAAATGACATGATCGACTTTCTTATTGACATGTGTCGTGCATCTAGAATATTCTTAATGAGTGAGTTGCCCAAGGATATAAAAAAAATGAAAGTTTCATTACAACTTGATGATGAGCGTTTTCTTGATATTCTAGAAGATAATAACTTTTCAATTATTGAAATACGATCAAAATACATTAGTTCAGAATTTGTAATGTTTTCTGATACTGTATCTGATACAGATTTTGAATTGATTAATATGATTGAGAAAGCCAAAGCTAAGGTTGTGAAATATTTTAGAACAAAAGTTAAATATACGTTTTTGAAGAATGTTTATCTCAATGCTTTTGATAATAACTACTTGCCTTACCTAAAAGAAAGAGTGCTTTATTTTTACAGATATATAACCTCACAGATGGAATATAATGATTATTACTTTCACCTTAGCCAAAATCATCTCTTGAATATGAATTTTATAACGTTTATAAAATGTGTTCCTTTACGCCTCGAATTTCAGTTTATTAAAATTGTTACTGAAATTGCAAAAAAAAATAGAAAACTTAAGGGTTCAATCGATCTGTCAATAGCTCTGAGAATATTGAGAATATTTCAGGCGAAGCTTTTGAAAAGCTAAATCTTTGCTGTTTAGAGGCTGTGTCTTCTTTTACTCTTGGCGATGTTCTGAATATGCTCAAAAAAGGATCAGAGACCTATAATGCACTAGCTTCAAGAGTAAAAATTTATGAGTTCGATAGAATTCTGCAGGCATTCCTCAAATACAATATTTTTGAAGGGTTTAATGATGGACAAATGTATTTGTTTTTTGAGCATATTGAAGGTATTGAAAAATATATTGAAAAAATACTTTCTGATATTAGCGAGGAATCTAACGAAGTATCTGGGCATAGCATTTCCTATCCAGTTCGTAAAAAGTTCTATGATCTAATCTGCGATTTTTCTCAGGATGAGTTTCAATCCAAGACTCAAACGTTGATTGAGCAAAACTTTGAAGGCGATGCAAGAGAGTTCTTTTTGAAAAAACTGCAAACATTTAATAAAATAAATTAAAAGCCAACATTGCTTGTAGTATAGTTAAATAAAGAGTAATGCTTTTATGGAATTAAATTGTTCCTAGTGTTTAGCATTTCAAACAGTTTGGCCATTTTCTAACCTTTTAATAGTGCATGCTGAAAAATTGACAATGATCGTTAATTTAAAACTTTGTTTTTAATAATCTCGTATATTTTATTGCTAACTTTCTCAAGACCATGTGTGAAGAAAAGAAACAACTCAAGGACAAAATCTTTTTCGTATGGAATATATGGAAAACAGATAAGTTCTCTAACAAATAAAGAAATAGAAGAAGCACGTACAAAGCCTTGGGTTGAAATCCTTTCTCCTGAACAGCTAGACGAGTTTGTTTCAAATTTTACACTTTCTCCATTTCCAAGCTATGTTTCTAAGAATATTCCAGAAAATTATATAATTAGAATGAATTTACAAGCATGGCGAGCTTATCTCTTTGGGCCTAACTTTATAACTACTAATAAATTCTACTTTCAAATGGTAGATTACATCGTAACCAATCCCGACCGTGCTCCGTGTAGTTTATTGAGATCGAAATTTAATATTGATCCAAAAACGATGCATTATCTTTGTAAAAAGCTATCAGAAAGGGGTATTATTGAAGAAATAAAACAAGGGAAAGAAACGGTAATAAAACTTAACAAGGTTAAAGATATGTCAAAACAGAGGAATGATGAGCATCCTATTTTTAGTGAGGAGAAATCTATTGACGTTTCAAAGATGGTGTTCTACCAAAATATTCCGTTGATTGATCAAATTAAAATGCATGCCAAATGCCGTGAAAATGGATTAGGTACAAAGGAATTGAATGATATTACAGGAATATCGTTAAAAAATGCGCTAAAACATTTGCAGAAGCTTTGTGAAGCCCATCCTGATTATTTTAAAATGGTTAATTCAATTGAGCATGGCCACACTACATTTAAGGTGTTTTCAATAGAAAATCTTAATAAAAGAAATCAAAGGAAATTGAAAATGATGCAGAAAACTGTGGAAATTGAAAATGATGACCCAGATGTCGATCCAATTTTAACATCAAAAGATAGACAAGAGGTTTTGAAGATTATCGCAAAAAAACATGGCCATTTTATCCTTTCAAAGCAAATATTTGAGGAAATATCAAGAATGACAGGGTATCCATATAATATAGATCGCAAAAATCTAATTAGTAATGCAGAAGCGGCAGGATTGAAAGTGTTTAAACTTTCAGATCCACCAACGAGAAGATATGTGATTGCCTTGCCACATTGCGATGAATCAATTTTAAACCAGTACGTGTCTGCACATGAATCTATACCGAAAAATGAATCAGATGAGGAGAACAAATTCTATAAAAGCGTTAAAAAATATTTTATGAACATCAGCAAATGCATTATAGCTGATAATGGATACTGTGATAATTCGGACATAAACATCGGTATTCTTTATGAGCATATCAAAGAAATACACAGGACTAACAATTCTAAAAAAAAATCAAAAGTAAGAATAATACCGTTATTCATAATATTAATAAGACTACCAATAGTACTATTGATGAGTTTAATATTCGTTTTATACAGTTTGATTATCAAACTGTTATGTCAATGAAATTAGAAACTTTCTTCAAAGTTACGAAGATTAAAAGACCAAACTTCCTTACAAAATGTGCCTTTGAAGTTTTTCAAAAAATTCCTGATAAATTTTCCATTGATAAGTCAAATTGTGAATGTTTATTTATAGGTAATTTTGAGCCTAAAAAATTGAATTCTTCCATTTTTACTATAATTGAGGAAATGAAATCAATAAGCGTAAACGACTTAATGTCTTTAATTTCACATGAATACCAGGAAGTCATTAGAGAAGCCTCAAATCCATTTAGATATTTAGGAAAGCTTCAGAAACTTGAATTCAAAGGACTTATTGATATAGAAACTGACAATGAAAATAGAATTTACATCCGAATATCCAAAGATCCAACCAGTAATACTACTTTTCAATATAAAAACCTATCATTTGCACAAACACCCTTAAATTACAATTCAAGGGCTGAGTTCGTTCAACATTTCCAAAAGTGTTCTAAAGAAGATTTCAAAAGCAAAGCTGAAAGTATTTTGCCAACAATTTTCAGTAGAGCTGAGCAAAAATCAATGAAGAAATACATCAGCCTATTTTTAAAAGAAGAAAATATTAGTACACAAAACAATACAGTTGTAAGAAAAGGAAATAGTTTATATCTTCAAGAACATCAGTTTGAATTGTATTTAAAGATTAAAAAAGCATTGATATTTCAGTTACCGATTAATTTTAAAATATTGACAGGATATGAAAATATTGATATTGAAGACGTTTTAGAATACATGGTAAGTCATGGTATTGCCTCAGGATATCGTTCACTCTCCTCACTCTCTAGAATGTATCTTAACAACAAATTTAAGTCATTCTTAGGTGACTTAATTCCTGAACCATCTTCAACACTTGTGGATGATCATAAATATTTTAAGATTGTGTTTCCAAAAATATTTTCGATTGTGAATGAGCTTGGTTCTATTGATTTTGAGCAATTGGTTGTCAAATCTAAATATTTTGAACCATTTGAGATTAGAATGATTCTTCACGAATATTCCAGCTGTTTTTCAATCAGAAAGGTCGATGAATTTGAATTTATCAGCATAGCTAACATTCAAGACCCTTTTGATTAATCTAGAAATTACATTTCAATCATCTATTATGTTTATAACATCTGGACTGAGTATTTTTACATCATTATTGTGGAATTTTAACGAAGTATTTCAACAAATGTATCATTTCCATTTGGCTAGTGTTAATATTCATAAATAAAATTTATATAATCTCTTGATTTTCATACATTTTTGAATAAAAATTTTCACTGACCCAACCCAATGGCCAGCCAAAGTTTATCTTTTGGAGATCGATTTGCAAGAAAGATTCAACTTGAATACCCAAAAGAACTTATAAATGAGTTAAGAGAAATGGTAGCTATAAAGAGTCCCTGTTTTATCTATGGTGAATGTGGAAAGACTGTACTCATCAAAAGCTGCTTTCCCGACGTTAAAGTTTATGATACCAGAGAAATTCTAGAAACAAAGAATATTAGCGGATTTTATTCAATTAGAAATAACACCCTTGAATACACTAATGGCATACTTATTGAAGCTATGCTTAAAGGGTATAAAATATGTTTTAAGAACATTGATGCTAATCTGAGTCTTTTACAATACCTGAAACCGGTTATAAGGAATCGAAAAATTGTAAATTCGTTCGGAGATGATATATTTGCTAGTGATGATTTTAGAATATTCTTTACTTGTAAAGAACCACTTAAGGTAAAGAATGTCATCTTTATTGGACCAATCCGATTTACTCTTGAATCTACACTTGCTCTATTTAAGGATATTTCTTGTAGTTTTGAGGTCCATAAACCGCTTAGCTCTATACTTCTCAACGTTCTTGATTTTATGCTAAAGAATCGGAATGAAAGATGTCCAAGAAATGATGGGTTAGCGTGCAGTCAAATATGTTTGAAGGATGAGCTTAAATGTGACTGTCTCAATAATAAAACTAACTATCTATGTAGTAAGCATTTTAGAAAGATGCACGAATTGAGTGATATTCTTCATTTAGAATATGAAAATGGAAATGCGTTTCGTCTGGTTTGTATCAGGGAATGGTAAATGTGTTTTTAAGGCATGAATCAAAAATACTGTCAGAATTCTTAATGGTAGTACCCACCTCACCAAATCTTCCAAATATGCTTTTTGCCAAGACAATTCCTGTTGAGAGTGCACTGAATAGTCTCATTTTGAATATTTCAATAAAAAAACCAACATTGTTAGTTGGAGAAACGGGTGCAGGCAAGACTGCATTAGTTCAGTATCTGTGTTCAAACTCAGAGCATTTCTTTGGATACAAAGTATCATTGAAGATTATTAATATGTCTATGGATTTTGATGGGTTTGATTTGATAGGTGGGTATCATTCAATTGATTTGGATCAAAAAATCAAAGAAATGTACACAAAAATCCAATTGGAGATTCCAAGATCATTAAATAGACGAAATATTCTCGAACAGTTATTGCTGAAATTGACAACGGGTTTGAGTAGCAAATTTGATATTGACACTAATATTAGTAATACTACAACTAGTAACTGCATTCAATCTATGATCAATGAGGTGAAGCTTTATTTAAGTATCTTGGATAAAAAACTACCTTTTTATTTCAGAGATGGGGCATTAACTCAAGCTATGAAGAATGGTACTTGGGTATTGCTTGATGAAATCAACCTGAGTTCTGATGAAACCCTTAATCTTATTGAAGCCATCCTATCAAAGGATGAAATGATTCTTTACGAAAGTGGCGACTTTACTCCAATCAAGATCCATCCTAATTTCATGATATTTGCTTGCATGAATCCTCACGGTGATTTTGGAAAGAAGAAATATGACAGTTCTGTCTTCAGCAAAATAGTATTTTATGATTTTAGCTTTAGTCTAAAAGTGCATTAAGTCAGTTGTTCAAAGTATCACTCGCAACTTAATTGAAGAAGTAGATTCTATTTCTGAGTTCTATTTTGAATTTAAAAAAAGATTAGCAAAAAGAGAATATACAAATATCATAGAGCCTTTAGTTTCAGGAAGGACATTTTGCCGAGCTTTGCATTATATTCTTCAAAATAGAAATAGTAACACTGCCATTTACGATGCTTTTAATTTACTCTTCTTTACTCAGCTTGATCTATCTTCTAAAGCCAGTGCACTTCAATTGTTTAAAACTTACTTCAAGACAATTACAGAGAATACAACATTCTCAGATATTTACGATTTGAATGGATACATTATAACGCCCAAGACTAGATTGCACTTCAATGACGTAGATTTTGCGATAAGGGCTAACTTACCCATTCTTATTCAAGGTGATACCTCTACTGGTAAAACCAGTATGATTTATGCTCTGGCTAGTAAATACGACAAAAGAGTAATTAGAATAAATAACCACCGTCAAACAGAAAGTTCAGATTATATAGGAAATTACACAGCCAGCAGTGAGGGAATATATTTCAGACCAGGTCCTTTGATCACAGCTATGAAGAATGGGCACTGGATTATCCTTGATGAATTAAATCTAGCATCCAGTGATGTGCTTGAAGTACTAAATAGACTTTTAGATGATAATAAAGAATTATACATTCCTGAAATTGATGAATGTGTAATTCCTCATTCTAATTTTCGATTGTTTGCTACTCAGAATCTAAATTATGGTGGTAGGCACGGACTAGCTAAAAGTTTCAGAAATAGGTTTATTGAAATATTCTTTTATGAAAAAGATGAAAATGAAATGGCCGAAATACTTGAAAGGTCGTGCAAACTTCCTAGATCCTTCATAAAGTATATTATGCTTATTTATACTTCATTAAAAGCTGAAAGGACTCTTAACAGTTTTATAACCCTAAGAGACTTATTTAAGTGGGCTAAGAGACAGCCAGGAGATTATTATGAATTATACACAATAGGTCTAGAGATAATTCTTGAAAGACAAAGAAATAAAGAAGACAGAAAGAGGGTGCTTGAGGTATTTAACGATTCGTTTTCAGACAGAATGCGATTTGAAAAGAGGAAGTATTATGATTTATATCAAATTGATTTGAAGAATGCTAGCCTGAATGATAGTATAATTAATAACAGCAACAATTCGCTTATTTTTACTAGATCATATGTGAAGCTCATTAATCTCATTTATAAAGCTTGGATTAATTTGGAGCCTGTCCTTTTAATTGGAGAAACAGGCATTGGTAAAACTAGAGTTTGTGAGGTTGTTTCTTCTATGCTTTGTCTAAACTTAAGAAGCATAAATTTATACAGTGGTATTGAGAGTTCTGATTTTATTGGTCATCCTTATTTTGAGAAAGGAAAGATACATTGGATGGATGGACCACTTGTAAAAGCTATGAATGATGGAGATGCATTCTTGATTGATGAGATCAATTTAGCCGAGGATTCTGTTCTTGAAAGATTGAATAGTGTACTTGAGGATAAAAGATATTTGTTTATACCTGAGATAGATAAGGAAGTGTATGCTCACAGTAACTTTAGGATAGTTGCTACAATGAATCCAAGTGGGGATTTTGGAAAGAGAGAGCTAAGTCCAGCCTTGCGAAATAGATTTACTGAGATATATTTTGAACTTGAGCCTGATGAGTATTATGAAATATTTGACAAGTTTGTTGAGAAAGCATGTTGTATTACAAACAAAAATGATGAAAACAGCGTGAATTTAAGATACTTTAAGGACAGATTTAGAATGTTAAAGGATATGAGTGTTAGAAAGATAGAATTGTTATGCTCGCATATTAGAAATATCTTAATTAGAAATAATAACGTTGAGAGCAATCAAACTGAAGATAATACGGTTGAGAATAGTAAAATGGGAAGAATAATCGAATTAAAAGGGTTTAATTCAGTAGAAGAAATATGGGAGGATTGTTTAGAACTAATAGGACATATGCCATCTATCGATAGATCAGTAAATACTAAAGTAGATGATAAGCACTTATTTGGTGTACATCCATACTACTTAAGAATACACGCTAATACTCTATCAGATACTATGTATTCATTCAACTCTATCACTTCTCAATTAAATTTGAAGAGGATTCTTAGAGGATTAACTACCAATAAAGGAATACTTCTTGAAGGTGAGCCGGGTGTGGGAAAGACCAGCATTGTACATCACATTGCCAAGATTCTTTCTATTCCTATCTTAAGAATAAATCTTAGCGAGCAGACTGAGATGAGCGATCTTCTTGGGTCTTATATTCCAGTGGGTGATTCTATTAGTTTTATGGAAAGCCATATGGTAGAATTTCTAAAAGAAGGAAGGTGGATTATTTTAGACGAAATTAATTTGTGTACACAGAGTGTAATTGAAGGATTGAATTCTATATTAGATCATAGAAAGAAGATTGAAGTAAACGGAAAAATAGTATACGTGCATAGTAATACAAGGATATTTGGAACAATGAATCCCTGGAATAAAGAGAATGGTAGAAAAAAATTACCTAAGAGTTTTCTAGATAGATTTATTGTGATTAGGATGAGTGGTTATACAATAGAAGACATAAGAACAATACTAAGCGGAAGATATGGGCCTTCATATTTATTTGATGAGAAGCTGAGTTTAAGAGGGAATATCAAAGCAAATGAGTTAAACAAGAATAGTATGACTAGTACTAACATTACTAATGAATGCTATCCTATATCTTATTCATTTGAACCAAAATCTAACTATTTTGATATTAGCTTTGGTAGCATTCTTTTAAATAGTAAAAATGTCCCCCAATAACTATGCTATTCCTCACTCTCAAATACCCCAAATTGAATTGCTACTGAAGTGTATTTCTAGTAATATTCCTGTGATTTTGCTAGGAAATAGAGGTAGGAATTCTCTCTTGAATTTTATTTCATCAATCTTTTCTTTAAAAATGGTTCAAATTGATTGCCACAAAGACACTGACATATTTGATTTACTAGGACAATACAGAAAGGCTGAGAATAGTACAGATAGTATTGATATCAATAATAATAATGGCAACTGTCTACTATTTGAATGGTGTGATGGCCTACTAGTTAAGTACATCAAAGAACCATCTTTAATAGTCTTTAACAATCCTGAAATGGTTGATAAATGCGTCTTTGATCGTTTAAACTCACTCTTCGAAGATGATCGTAGAATTAATGTTTATGAAAAGGTAGAAGACACTTTTATAAATATCCACCCTCAAGTTAAATTTGTATTGTGCTGTGATAATGTCTGTGGATTGTCACCAGCGCTTATTGACAGATGCTACATAATTGAACTATGCGAAAGATATTCATATATCGACCTATACAAAATTTTTACTACGGCTAGTAGCAGTGATATTAGAACTGAAGATATCTTAACAAGCATTAGCAATGATTGTATGAAGAAACTCAAGTCAAATGCCAACGACACTCTTTTTAAGGAACTGATTGGTACTGAATCTTATATTAACTGTTCCTCTTTGGACATTGATATTAAAAAATTCTCTATTTTAGGAACATATCCTGCCTACTTGAATAGGAGTCTTAATATTTACAATACTCTTATTGAATCTGAAATACAATATATGTTTAAGTTGGAAATGGAAGAGTATGTTCCTTGCAACACTGATCTTTTGAATGTATACAAAGAAATTAGTTCGTATTCTACCAAGCTACCTACAAGATATTCTGATGTTATAGAAATACTTACAAAGAGTCCTAGCATTACTTCATTTATCAAGTCAATGGTGTTTATTCATACTAACAGCTATAGTAGTAATAATGTAAATGACAGTACTGAAATTAATAAGATATGTTGTAAGAGTGTTTCCAATACTATTTATGATTTAAAGGTTAAGTTCATCAAGGATTTACCTATAAAAACACTTTCTCAGTTCAGCGATCTTCTATATTTTGCTAAAAATATATCTAAGATATCAATTGATATATTTGATGACAATTTTTGCTATGAAGCTGCTTTATCAAATTTTTACAAGCTACTAAACGACTATGATCCTCTGCATCTTATACGAAGTGAATTGATTAATGAGAAGATTAGGAAACAGAATGATATTAAAAAAACAATCTCAGATACTGCTATAAGTCTGTACAAATATGGAAGGGGGGATGTTGCATCTCTTATCGATGAATTTAATAATATTTCTAAGAAGTATACTTCATCTTTGTCTAAAATAGACAATCTACTGAAAAGAGACTATGAAAAATTCAAAGATATTATTCATTCTATTACATTTTGTGAATATCTTAATAATAGGGAATTAAGAGTATTCTTAGAAGATTTTTCAGACTTGCATGATTATTTTCTTACATATTTATTTTCAAAGAGAAGTGAGTGTACAAGATGCTATTGTATGGACAAAGAACAATACTATTCGATCAAAACAATGTTCTATAAGACTTATTCACAAGTATAACAACAAGGAAGCAGTGGATTGTAACAGATTGCTAGATGTTAATCATTTTGAATTCTGCTTGAAACCACAGTATTCAAAATATCTATTTTACACTATTACTGATAAGACGAGTAAGCATATTAACAGTATAAAGAGAAAGTTAATAGTTGAAGCTATAGCATTTGATGAGTTATTACTACATTTACAATCAAAATCTACCAATGATCAAATTATAAATAGTGAAAAAGAGTGCATTGAAGATGCAGATGTTAAGAAATGCTTTGAGGGTGCAAGCAAAGGAACGGTCATTCTCGATTCTTTTACTGAAGACGAGATTGATGACTGTATTGCTCATTTATTTCCAACTAAGACTATCGCTAGGGTAATTGAAAGGAATTCAAATACAATAGTTTTGGGTGAGGATGCCATTGCTCTATTTTCAAGCATTCCACACGGAATACTCCTATCTATTCAGAATTTAAAGTATTTTTTCCACCCCAGAACAGATTATCAACGAATTACATACCATTAGAATTCAAAATGAAAGCTTTATTAATATGCCTTTCTCTGAGGAATATGCTAAATTTACTCAAGCTATGAAATTTATCGATAGTTTAGAATCGTTCTTTACTAATCTTTACAAAAATGAATCATGCCTTACTCTTGAACGAGACTATTCATATTTCCAATACTTACTATTCAGCAAGACCGCCTATAATCCTTTAGATACTTATGATTCTGCTACTTTGGAAAGATTTTTCTTGGATTGTAGGATATTTGAGTTTTTAGACAAAATGTTCTTTTCTGAGTCTTTAATAGGAATTTATTTTAACCCCATTCTTTATGGGTATACTCTTCTTTACAAATCGTTTGAAATTGAAGAAAAGTTTAAAGTAGAACATAGACAGACTGCATTAAAATTAAGAAAGGAACCTAGGTTTTATGATGAAAGCATTCATGAATTTGTTGACAGGTTTTTATATGCTCCTGTTTTAAAAATAGCTAAAGTAGATTTTGATTTTCCAGGATGTATCGGTGATCATTCGTTACTAACGTCATCAACTTCATCTTTATTGACTTCGTTGTTGAGTAACTGTAATATTGACATTAGTAATAATGTTTGTGAATGCTTTAGATGGAAATTGCTTATCGATTCGCTCAGTAAAAATACTTCTATTAGAACCACCATTATGGACACTTTGAATAGTCACATTACAATCAACAGTCGAATTGTAATTTCCGATGTTATGAGTCGCTATCTAAATAGAAATGTCAGTGAACCTTTTAATATATCAGAAATATGCCTATCTAAGCTTATTTGTAGTGTTATTTCCAATTTAAACAGCCAGAAGTATGATATTAATGCTACTAGTATAATATTGAAACTGTGTGTCTATAGTATTGAATACCCTGTTCCATCTTATCTTTATTTTGCTTTTAAATTCAGTAATGTGTTTGAAGAATCAGAGCAGTTAGAAAATGGGACAGGATTACACAGTGGACACGGAGAGAAGCATATAAAAGATGAAGATATTGCGAAAGATGATATTAATGATGATTATAATAATGAAGAAGATACGAGTGTTAAAAGTGATGGCATTGAAATGAGTAATGAAGGAGAATTTTATAGTGTTAGTAATGAAAGTGAAGGTGAGAGTGGAATAGATAATATTGAAGATGATAACAAAGATGTTATTGAAGAAGCCAACGATGATAATAGTGAAAATGATCGGGGTAATGATGAGGATAACATCGATAGTACTAATAATACTAGTGAAAGCAGTAATGAAAGCATTGATAGTAGTATTAATGATGATAATATTGATGATAGTGATAATGTAGCAAATGAACTGGTTGTTAATAAACTTGATTACCAGTGGAATGAATCTACATTAAATAAATCACAGACATGCATTTCAGCTGATAATTATTCAAAAAAAGTAGCAGGTAGAAATTTAAATGGAATGGATCAGAAAGATGTCCTGCAAGAGGGAGAGGGCGATGAATTGGTTGAAGGTGAAGATTTGGCAGGAAAGGAATGCTCTTCAGTTGAAAGATCAGTTGTTTTTAATAGGAAGTCACCAGACTGTGTCAAATTGACTAATTTACTTAAAGTAATACTTGAGTCCAACAAGAATAGTAAGTACAAAGGCGACTTTAAAACAGGAAAAAAGCTAAATCTAAAAAGAATTATTCCTTACATTGCTAGTGATTACAGAAAAGATAAGATATGGATGAAGAGGGCAAAGAGTGATAAAAAGGAATATATTTTGCGTATTTTTATTGATAATTCAAAGAGTATGAACGATCAGCATTTGGTGGATGTCCTTTCTGAAGTATATTACAAATTGGATGCATCCTTCTCGCTTTTGGACATTCCAGTTCAATTGTACAAGTTTGGAACTACTTTGAGAGAGTGTAAGATTGAAGACCTTACCTTCGACGAAGAAAGCACCCTAATAAACTGGACAGATCAGTTTGATGATGGGATTAACATTATTCTGACAGATGGAATATTTCAAAATGTAGGATATGCAAAGGATAATTTTCTTGTGGTGATGATTGACAGAGGGAATGTAAAGACAATGTCAAAAGTAAGTTTAATAGAAAATAGAGTATTTATTGAAAAATATTTAGATTCGTTTGCACTAAAATATTGCATTATCCAGAACATTGATGATCTTGAAAAGATATTTGTGGAAGCTTTATCGAATATTATTAGGAATTTATTTAATTGAATGAATAGGTTTTTAATAAAAGCTTATAAGCAGTAAATGCATGTTTTTAAATTGATTGACTTCATTTACATGATCTGTGTTTGGTTTGACAGTGTTATAGTACGTTTAAGCTTTCAATATTTAAGTAAGTTTTTTCATTTGCCTATAATTTTGCTGATAAGCTTGAAATTGCATAAAATATATCCAGAATGCTCACTGCATTCTAGCACATTTCAGCATTACATTTGTAAGTAATACAAGAAAATAGCAAGATGTGCAAAGCATAAATAAAATTTGCCTTTAAATTCTGATAGAATTGACATGTGAGCTAGATAATATAAAAGGAAGCTTATGAGATTTATTGTGTGTCTTGACAACAATGTTACCCAATTGATAGGGCTGTAATTTAAATAATAACGTGCCATTAAAAGTATATTGAAATTACTGAGTCTAAAAAATAAACCAGATTTGCTCGAGCCATAAACATATTGATTAGTGCTATTGTTATATACATTTAACCCTGTATAAATGTTATGCGTCTATTGGCGTTATTAGAACTGTGATTGAATTACCCTTCTTCAGACTCATTTTTATTATATAAAGTATGAATTTTGAGATGTTGTTATTGACTTGATGCTCTTTTGGCATTTAGCTCGTCAGAAAAAAATTATAGACTGTTAACAATCCATGTAAATCATTAGACTTCTTCAATACATCATAATTCTTCGTTCCGTGTTTCTAATTTTAAGCATAACTGAAAGCTTCATACAATATTAATAAAACTACCAAACTATAGTTTATATTTGTATAAAAATTTCACTATTATCCAGTAAAATCAGTAATATAAAAATTAGGGTGGTTACATACTGTATTTAGTGATTTAAAAATCACCAGTACAAAACCAACAATCAACAATCTGAAGTTCGTGTCAGCTTTAGAATGTTAGAATGCCATTTATAATGAGTTTGACAGCATTATGTTTTTGACAAATTGATTGGAAATTTTTGATCTGCTTTACGGAATTTGTCTGTATGTGATAATATGTACTTTCTTAATAATTCATGTTTACTAAGACACATTTAATAAAAAGGTTAAAATTTTTATATTTAAATTCCTATAAACTCTCTTCCTGTCCTAGTTTAATATTAACCGCAATCACCGTAAATCTTACTTTTAATATGCTTGTTGTTCTTGGATTTTTGCATTCTGTCTGTAAATTGTCCTTATCACCACCCCTCATTGATGAGTGAAATGCTTGAGTTCATCAGCGCAAGCGAAAATGGCGTAACAGAGGATATGCTTTGCAAAAGATTCCCAAATATAAAGAAGGCTGATATGGCCGTTATTCTAAATAGCTTTTTACAGCAGAACCAAATTGAAGTACAAAGGTCTGGAACTACACTGCTTTACAAATGCATTCAAAGTAGGAACAGCAGCTATGAAGCACTTGTCCTCAATTTGATAGCACAGAGTGGGTCGAGCGGTCTTTGGCTGAAAGACATTAAGAATAAAACAAATATACCGCACAATCTTATCCTTAAGATCCTCCGAGTGCTAGAAGAAACAAGGAGGATAAAAAGCATTAAGTCAGTGAAGAACAATAGAAAGATTTATGTTCTGTTTGATATAAAACCCGACGAGGATATCAGTGGGGGAGTATGGTTCAGTAACAACGACGTAGATCTTGTCTTTGTTAATAAATTAATGGAAATAATCTATCAATATGTCAGAAAGCCAGAAGGGCCATTTGTACTCAATAAAGTTGACAATCTTGTAAAACTAAGGATGGTAAGAGAGTTTATCTCGACAAGCGGGATCTCCGAAGTTGTGCTGACAGTTGATGATGTCAACACATTGATAGACTGTCTGGTATATGACGGGAAGATAGAAAGGATAGAGGTGGGGGGAGACGTAGCATTGAGGGCATTGAAGGACGAATACATGAAATTTTGAAGAGCACAGCGGTTTTACAGAAAGAATTTAGTCAAGAAGGTGATTTAACAAATACTTGGCTGGAATGTCCTTCCATTTTTGTACTATTAATTTTTAAATAAATTATTGAGGGCGTAGTTTGAGAAGAGAGTTTTATTAAAGAGTATTTATGAGCCATTTCAAAAGTGCTTTTGGTGTATTTTTACATAGGCAGAGACACAGCATTAAAAACTGCCATAGTAAATACCAGGAATACTTAATATTCATATACATTGAATAAGTTTACATATCCTGCACTACAAAAATTTTGCTAAATTTTTACTCTTCCCATACATGCAGTCAACTAAGCAATCTATCTTTTTTCATGAAAGACCAATCACAGATTTAAAGTTTCATCGTGATGGTGACATATTCTTCACAGCTTCAAAAGATTGCTCAGCAAGCATGATAAATTTAGAGGGAAAGATTCTTGGCTCGTTTGACAAGCATAGTGGCGCTATATCTACAATAGATTCATTTCAAAATACTTTTTTAACAGCAGGTACTGATCTCCTTCTTGTCAAATGGGATATTCTCACGGGAAGTATCGAAAGTACTATTTACTGTGATGCTGTCGTACGAGGAATAGATTTTGGTGAACAGATATACTTCTGTACAGATAATTCAATGAGCAAAGAGGCATTTGTTGGAATGGTAGATCCAAAAACCAATGCTCTTCATAGAATAATTTCACTTTTTGAGCCTTCTTCCAAAATATTCAAAATAGACAATAGCATTATTTTTTCAACTACAAATGGAAAAGTTTGCAAGTTGGATTTAAGAAATCAAAGGATTATACAAGAAACTAAAGTGCACCAATCCAAGATAACAGACATGAAGCCATCTGCTTGTAGATCATTCTTCGTTACATCATCGATGGATTCTTCTGCGAAAATCATTGATACCGAAACATTTATAGTTAAAAAAAGGTTTGATAGTGAAGAGCCAATAAATTCCGTAGCAGTTTTCAATACCAATGATATAATAGTTTGTGTTGGAGGCATTAACGCCAGAGATGTTACTGCTACACGAGGAAAAAGCTCTTTTGATACCAACTTCTTTGATATAGTCACACAACAGAAGATTGGATATTTCACAACACATTTTGGAACCATCAATGCTATTGATGTTCATCCCCAGTCAACACACTATATCTCAGGAGGAGAGGATAGTAGTGTTTGTCTTGTAAAGCTAGGTATGGATTTTAAAGAAGCACCATTTACAAAGCTTAACTAAATAGTAGTCTTTCATTATAAATAGGTTGATTCTTTTTCATATTCAGGTTCACATGTGCGTGATGATTTTCATCTGCTATATTAAATTATTAGATTTAATTGTGCTTTTATTGTTGTTAATGGTTTGACCCATGCAGGATATAAATAGAGCAGTAATGCTAAAGATGAAATACGTGGAAGAGCTACTAACCAAGCTAGAAAATCGTGAGGCTCCATCCGTGACAACGCTCCTAAAGGAGGAAATAGATCGATTGAAGCAGCAGATTTTAGAACTGAAAGCCAAAAATGAGGAAAAGATGGTTGTTGGAAAAGAAGAAAATGGAAGTAGAGTACGGTACTACCTGAAGGATGGAAGTGTTTATGTTGTGAAAGGAAGAGAGTACAGATATTTGTATGATGCAAAGTCAAAAGTGGTGACATATGAATTTGAGAATGGGCAAATTGAAAGAACATTCCAAAATGGACTAAAAGAAATTAGAAAGAAGGATGGAACGGTTGTTGTAAAGACAGGCCCCAAGGACTTTGATTACATGGGTTGAAGAAAATGCAAATAATGTATTAAATGGCAAAACAGTGCCAAGTTTTACTAAAATCAACGCTGATTCATTTTTATGTATGCCATTTAACACACAGCCTGGTCTTTAATAAGTGTCAGTTCAATTGTTTCAATAGCAACAAACGGATTCTATCAACTAGGAAGTTATACATGGTTCAATAACAAAATTTGTACTAAATCAATTAGCACAGAATATTGATAATCTGAAGTGTGGAGAACGAAGCATTGTTGATAATACAACACAATTATGCTTGATTTATGATGGAGTAGCAAACATCTGCAGTCGAAGAATGTAATACAACATAACAAGAAAACACAATTGGATAGCTAAAACATTAGGCGATTTTATCTATTTAATTTACAATAGTTTTATGACACTTTTGATTAGAACGTACATGAGAAATAGCTACTTGTTTAGCAGTCAATTCATATTAAGTGTTAGTTTTAATGAAAAGCTTAAAACATACTGTTTAAAAGATGTTTATATTCGTAGTGGGGTTGAATTCACTGAATGGCTGTCATATTATGCATTACTACTTTGACGTTGATGTTAGTTAAAAATTTTACAGATTGACTTAACAAATTCGTTTATTTTTATACTTGAATATAATCAACCATTTTATGTTTGATCACAAACATGTTTTTAATAAATTTATAAGGCAGTGTACAAAAACACTGAGTAGACTCCTTTGCGAAAGATTTATTGTATGCTAGTCTTGACTACCCACAATAAAATACAAATGGAATAAATTTGAATATTGCCAATATACTTTTGATTTTTATATCTAGCTTTCTACCTTTGCTTTTTATCTAGTATCTGATCCTGTGCAGCTTGTATATAAAAATTCAAGCAATAGACACGACACTTTGCAAAAGTAAAGTTTGGGAGTCATTAAAAAGCAGCAAGATCCAATGCACTCGCCGGGGCTCGAACCCGGGGCCTTACCCATGTGAAGGGTATGTGATAACCACTACACTACGAATGCTCACATGTCTTGTACATAAACATATTAGTATTGCTGGATTTGTGTGTAGACACGTATTCTTTATTACACATTCAAGTAATTATTAAAAGAGATAATGTTTTATTATTTAAATACTTTTACATCCTCAGACAATTTTCTTTATTGTAAAATTTTTCATCTTACCCATGCAAAAACAAGTTCCTAAGGCTTATGTATTGGTTTCAATGGATAAAAACGACATTCAAAAAATGTCGGCATATACGGCAAAGACCCTCAGCTCAATTGTAAAAACGTGCCTTGGCCCAAGGGCTATGCAGAAAATGGTTTTAACCAAAATTAACTCAATTGAACTTACAAATGATGGAAACTCAATCTTGAGAGAAATAGACGTTAGTCATCCATCAGCAAGATGTCTGATTGAGCTTGCACAGACCCAAGATGACGAGTGTGGAGATGGAACAACTACTGTCCTGGTTCTTGCTTCTGAGCTACTTGATCGAATGATACCTCATTTAAAAGACAATCATCCGATCAAAATTTGCAAGATGCTTTCAAATGCCAAGGAAATGTGCTTGAACCATTTAAACAGTGTTTCTATTGAAGCTAAAGAGGAGGAACTTATAAAAATAGTATCTTCAAGTGTGGCTACAAAGCTTTGTAGTATTCTAAAAGTTCCAATACCTCAACTTGCATTGAATGCTGCACAGTTAATTAAAAATAACAGTGAGGATTCAAAAATAGACATTAAGAATGATATAAAAATTGAAAAAATAATAGGATCATTTGAGGAATCCGAAATAATCGAAGGAATAATAGTTGAAAAAGATCTAGTACATAGCCAAATGAGGAAGACTATTGATAATCCAAAGATTCTTGTTCTTGATTGTCCCCTTGAGTATAGGAAAGGTGAAAGTGTGACGAATATGGAATTTTCTGATAGGAATGACTTTACTAAAGCATTGCGAATTGAAGAGGATCATGTGAGAGAGATGTGTAGATATATAATAGAAGCGGGTGCGAATATTGTAATAACAGAGAAAGGCATTAGTGATTTGGCGTTAAGTATTTTATATGAAAATGAAATAACAGCCATTAGAAGGGTCAAGAAGTCTGATCTTATCAGAATATCAAAGGCGACTGGCACAACAATCATGAGTAGAATAGAAGGAATTTCCATGAAGCAGTTGGGGTCAGCAGGTCTCTTTGAGTATGTCAAGATCGGAAGAGATTACTTCTGTAAACTAAGTAAATGCAGCAATCCTAAGGCTATTAGTGTAGTTTTACGTGGGCCTACAAAAGATCTTCTTGCGGAGCTGGAAAGAAATTTCATGGATGCAATTAAGATCGCAAGAAATGTGTTGATGAATCCTAAACTTGTGCCAGGTGGAGGTGCATCTGAAATGAGCTTGGGTATTCATCTTTGTAATAACAGCACATCAGAAAACTATCAAGTTTTCAAAAGTTGTTATGAGGCTTTAAAGGCTATTCCTTCGATTATTTCAACAAATAGTGGCACGGGTAAAACCCTGGAAATTCTTTATGAGCTTGAAAAACAACAAAGATCAAAAGGGTCTTATATTGGTATTAATGGTATTACAGGAGAGATTTCTGATGTGAGGAATATTGTTTTGGAGCCACTTATAGTTAAATCACAGTCAATCAAGAGTGCATTTGAGTGTGTTATGCAGTTATTACGAGTAGATGGAATTATTGAAAGTAAATCTAAATAAATTTGGTTTTTAGCATTTTCAAAGGCTATGCTGTAATCGTTTAGTCAGCCCTTTTCATTTTAAAACTGTGACTTTGTTACATTGTGACGTGTTTCATTTCAGTCAATAAAAATAAAATCAAAGCTCGCCCTATGGACTTAAACAATAATCTTGATGAGGGGATTTCCTATAAAGTTACGGACAGGCAGCTACCAATCGCAAATGTGTCGAAAATTATGAAAGATGCAATGCCAAATGCTGCTAAAATTTCTAAGGAGTCAAAAGAATTAATGGGCAAATGCGCATCAGAGTTTATTGCGATTATAACATGTAGAGCCAAGAACATTTGTGAGTGTGAAGCACGGAAAACAGTAACAGGCGATGATCTGATCCGTGCGATGGAGGATTTGGATCTGCCGTATTATTCTGAAATAACAAAAATATTTTTTGAACGATACAAAGATACAGGTAATGACTTCAAAGCCGGCAAATATTTCTCAGATACTATAGATTTTTCCGAGTTTCAAAAATAAAGACTGTTTGAATATAATCAAATGATTGTTTTCATGTTAGTTATTAATAAAACTTAACAACATTGCTTGTGCTGGTACTAACTGTTGATGCAATCAATACAATATATCTTCTAAATAAAATTTTCATCTATCAAATAATGCCCTATTGTTTGTTTCTATTCACAATTTTAATTGACATTTTTCCTAACATCTCCCCCCATGTCTTTCAAAATATCTCATGGGATTTTCAAAAACTACACTGGCTCAAGCACTATCTTCTCTAGCTCGGAACTTGTCACAACCACAATTTCTGGACCCTCTGACAATCTTAAAAGGGATGATTGCTATGATTCACTCACTATTGAAACAAAAGTACGTCTTTTTCCACAGTGTAGACCCTTTGATAGTATGGCAGTTGGGATAGTTAATAAAATTCTTGATACATTTGTGTTGAAAGAGGTGGAAAAGTTCAGATCTATTAGTATATCAGTCTACACCAACACACGTAACCTTTCAATGATATGCAATTCGGTTTTAATTGCTTGCCTTGATGGTGGAATTCCCCTAAAATCCATGTTTTACAGTGTTGGTTCTAGTGATTTGTTCGTTTTTAGTTCTGGAAAAATTGTATTATATCACTGTTTTGGATATATTGATGATGAAATGTCCAACAAACGACAAAAAGAGCTTGCTCATATCAAAGAGTGCATTGATTTTGCGATGGCTGATGTTTTTACTATTGCATAGACGTGCAAATTAAACTTTAATTTAAATATGAAGCATAAACACTTTAACCAATACCACATGTTTGTTCATTCTATAAGCATGTCAGGCATATCATGCACTGATATATTTTTATTTTGCTTATCATCTATCTTAAAAATTAAAATTTTATTCGACCCATGCATTATTTTGTCATCTTCAACAAAAAGGGAATCATAGAATTTGAAGAAGGAGAGGCGCCGACTTTTCTGAACTCATTGATACGTACTATAAACATTCAACAAGCTTCTGGATCTAGAAATATTAGAGATACACTTATGGAGTATAAAATTGAAGGACAGAGAATATATTTGAGCTTTGGAAACAAACCATCACTCGATGAGTTTATAAAAAAGCATAAACATAAAGACAGTACAGAAAATAAACAGCATGAATCGAAAGGGAACAAAGAAATCGAAAAGCCTGTTGTTTCCGACACCTTGGACTTCAGTGAAACAGGTTCAAATATTTCTAGTATTATTAAAACAATCAGAAAAGCTGATTTTAAGAAAGCGTTTAGCCTGTTTACTGGAAAAGTATCAATTGAACAGTTGCAATCTAAAATGATCGGTCATTTAATTAGAAAAAATGTCGATCCAACATTTTGTAGAATTATAACTGATGACATTATTTCTGAAATCAAGTCTGAAAATGTTGATATGATTAGCGAATCTTTCTTCAAGGAAAAAGTCAATAAGACACTCAATAAGGTTATTCCAAAATTTGATCATGACAGCTTCATAGAAAATATTAAGAAGCACACTGGAGTGTTCAGTATTTGCTTTGTAGGAGTAAATGGGGTGGGAAAAAGTACAACACTGGCGAAGATTGCATATTGGCTAATCCAAAACGGGTTGAGAGTGTATATTGCTGCCTGTGATACATTTAGAGCAGGTGCGATTGAACAGCTTAAAGTTCATGTGGAGAGGTTTAAATTGGGTGGCCATGATGTTGGGTTTTTTGAGAGTGGATATGCAAAGGATGACGCCTCTGTTGCCAAGCATGCTATTATGAAGGCGAATTCAGAGAATTACGATGTAATATTAATAGATACTGCTGGAAGGATGCATAACAAAGAAGCCCTGATGGTAAGTTTGACTAAATTAATAAAGACTAGTAATCCTGACCATATTATTTTTGTGGGTGAAGCCCTAATAGGTGGTGATTCGCTACATCACATTAAAGAGTTTAATAAAAGGATTTCCGAAGGCAGTTCAGGAAGAAGGATAGATAGCATTATTTTAACAAAGATTGACACTGTCGATGATAAAATAGGACAAGTCCTGAATTTTACATTTACTGCAAACTCACCAATAATGTTTCTTGGAACTGGACAGTCTAATACAGATTTGACTATTATGGAAGGAAAGGCCATTTCTGATATTTTATTGTCTTGAGGGAATAGACCGTGTGCTTGCACTCTTCTAAGTTTTATACCCTCAAATATTAAATGTTTTTTACAATCTTCTATCCATTTTGATTAACAAATGTATTTATACAAACAGATAGTTTTACCATAGACGAACTTCTGTAATTTTAATTGACATGGATGTGTTTGACAGCTTGATTGGCTTTTCAAAACCTTAATGATATACCTTAGTGAATGTCTGGTCCAGGTTTATAATATATTCACTATGGCCTGCAGGTCAAATTTATCTTGTAAAGCTTCAAAGCTAGCTTTAAATAAATGTCTTTTAGTGCATGTCAAGCCAAGTATGACACATTTTAATCTAACAAAGGGGTGGAAATTACTGATGCAAGCAAGTACAATAATCAATAAATAGTTTGTGAAACTTAATGGTTGTCTGTTTAAATAAGTTAGATTTTATATCTAGCACATCTGTTATTTTCAAATTTATTCAAGAATAGGTTCCAATCCATTGAAGTACGGTTCTTCGAGTGCTTCGCTTGCAGTGATCCTTCTTAAAGGATTGTAGACGAGCATTTTTTCAATCAATTGTTCTAATACTCTCTGGTTGATTATTGAACTCAATCCTATAGGCTTAATCTTTGACATGCTTTTGTTGTAATTTGGCAATGACTCAACACCATCCCAGTGGCTATTTGTGGGAATTCCCAAAACACCATAGATTTTATATAATTGATCTATTTCGGAATCTCCCATAAATAATGGTAGCATTGTATGCATTTCGACAATAATGCATGCCAATGACCAAACATCAACAGACGAATCATAATATTCATATCCCAGTAGAAGCTCTGGCGGTCTGTACCAGAGAGTGATGATTTGGGAAGTGTAATGCCGGAGCGGGATAGAAGCTGCTCTGCCTAGTCCAAAGTCCCCCAGCTTGATATTAAAATTTTCATCCACAAGAATGTTTTGAGGCTTCAAGTCTCTGTGAAATATATTCTTGGAGTGGCAAAATCCAACAGCTGTGCACAGTTGAAATGCCATTTTTTTTAATATTTCAGAATCAAATTTTTTATTGTTTCGGCTGTACAAATCAATCAACTTTTTTAAGTCTGTTTCAATATATTCAAAAACCAAATACATTTTATCTTCACTGTGGATAACTTCCATTAGATTTATTATTGTAGAGTGCCTAAGATTTTTCAGAAGGAGAATCTCTCTTATTGTTGTGGCAGGTATGCCCTCGTTTTCACTTTCAGGCCTAATCTTCTTCAAAGCAACCAATCTGCCACTGCCTTTTTCTCTAGCTTTATATACAATGCCATAGGTTCCTTCTCCTATTTTTTCCAGCTTTTGAAATGCACTCACAGCCATTTACGGCAAAATTTTGCATTTGAAACAATTCCCAAATACAGTTTAATACTCAAAGAAGAAATACAACAAAGCCAATCATTGCACATCGAATAAAGCATTGGCGTTATAGAAGACTAGCATAAACTCTTTTAACAAACAATCTTTAGAGTGCATGTAATAAATCAATCAATGTCAATGTAAGCTTAGGAGTGTTGCTTTATGAAAGATTTGTATAATTTAAGTCAAAACTTTCATTTTTATTATATCATAAAATTTTTAAATACTGGCTTTTTTTTAATCTTTCCACCCTTAAAATATTTACACTCAATTGTATTTTCTAGATCAAAAAGATCATTACACCACCACCCTTTTGTTCTAGCCATATTAAGAAGCTTTTTTGCCTTAACGAACTTTTCATTTTCTATGCATTTCCTTATAAATTCAAAAAACGCCGGTTTTGATTCTAAAACACCGTATTTTTCAATCAATTCTTCCAACTTTTCCATTGGAGTTTTTCTCACAAGACTGAACAGTAGATTGGCCTTTCCTGCAGAGTACAGTCCTTGATTCTGCTCAAACTGTACTTTCAATTCCACAAATTTATCAATATTCAATGTCTTTGCTACTGAAAAGTAAAGTGCTTGTATTCTAGTTCTTTCAAATAAGATTCTTTTTCTTTCGGACTCAGACTCCGTGTTTACTGCTCTGAACATGGGCTAATTAAAGAAATCCTAGCATTGCTAGTGTTTAAAAGGCCCTGGCAAGTATTAATGTATTCAAATGGAACAAAATAGTCCTTTAATTTTGAAATAACCGTACAATCAAAAGCAGACGATTATGCTTCAACTATTAGCTCAATGATTATAGCAAAGAAGCTTTTTTATCAAAGTGCACCCATGCAAAAAGCTAAACGAACATTTCTCCATGACGCTGTAGATTTTGTCACACTTGGATCACACTCATTACAAAGAGACGACTTTTCTGATTGTTTTAAACCATTATCTCCGTATGATTTACGCCGTGGAAGTGTTCCCTATATTTTCTCTTTCTTTGTTCGATACTTCATTATATTTCCAATCAGAATGACCATTTTTACAATTGGCATGTTTTTGATAGGATTCCTCTTTCTTTACGGCAGGTATTTTAGGAACTACGGTGTCATCCAGGACAGCTTCATTATCTTCAATAAGTTTACAATGCTAGTACTGAACTGCCATGTCACCCACAAAGGAAAGAAGAAACTGAGAAATGAACCACATATATATGTGTCAAATCACACCACATTTGTGGACTACTTGATCCTTAGCAGCTACAAGTTCAGCCATGCATGTATTTCTGAAGGTCATTCTGGATTATTTGGCTTTATCATTACACATATCCTATCCAAGAATGGATCAATTGGATTCAAAAGAAGCGACAAACAAGACAGAGCACAAATTCTTGTAAAGGTAAAAGAGCATATACATGAGAAAAAGGCGCCCATGCTGATATTTCCTGAAGGGACTTGTGTAAATAATGAGTCTATTGTTCTATTTCAAAAGGGTGCATTTGAACTTGGAACGTTGATTTGTCCTGTAGGAATTAAGTACAAGAAGGACATGACTGATCCATACTGGAATAGAAGAGAGCATGGGTTTACACTCCATCTATTTTACTTGTTCACTAGATGGGGTATTGATGTTGAAGTGCATTGGATGAATCCAATGCATAAAAAAACAACAGAGGATCCCATTACATTCTCACACAGAGTAAAACAGGCCATAGCTCGTAAACTAAAGCTCAGAAATACAATTTGGAATGGGTATTTTAAAAGTTCGCCTGTTCTTAATGATCGTGAAATATTGAAAAATTGCTTTATTTCTGTTTATTTAAAGATGAAAGAAAACAAGCTTGGAGAGGAGAAAAGAAAAGATATAAATGAGGGAAGGTACTACCTTCTTGATGAAAATATTGATAATACTGAGAAAGACGATAAAGTATACTTTGATCAGTTATCATATAGGAAATTTATTAACGAATGTTGCAAGGAATATTTGAGAACCAAAGCACTTACACCTCAGATGTTGTAAGTGCTGTGCATGTCTACCTAAAGTCTATTGTTAAAGTGTGGTGTTTGAATGTACTTTTCTTTGGGTTTGTTTATTATTGCATTTTTATAATCAAATATTCCACATGTGTCTTTACCAAGCTATTCAAGTATTGCATTCTGATCAATTTATAGAAGTACATAAAGCCCTGTCTTTTAAGTGTAATACTGTCTAAAATAAATGGTTGGACATGATGTGACTTTATGACAATCTGACAGTCACGTAAATCAACTACACCAGTACGAATGATATAAATTAATACACAAACCAATATGCTCATAGACTACAAACACTCTTTGTGTTTATTAACTATCCTTTATTAAAGGGGCTGATATGTTTTATTAGCCGAGATACTCCTTACTTGCTATCTATGACAACAGAGTCTGTAAAAATGGACAATATGGATGAGAATTCCTTCAAAAATGAATTAGACATGCATAAAAAGCTTATTTCTGCTGCTATCAAAAAATACGGATGTGAGTCACTGGTAGAAGACAAGTCTTTGGAACTCATAACCGCAATGGTATATAGAAAAATCAATGTATTTTTAGGTAACAAATATAATAGTACTGAGAATGGCGAGCTCAGGTCTTCCAGCATATTCAGCACAATAATGAGTATCATCGGTGTAATTGCTTCGATTCTCTTATTTATAGTATCCTAAAACCAGGAGAAGAGGGTGAAAATGGGACAACACGCTCCACTAGCCTACCTCTCCGAGTTGCAACAGGCCAAAATGCAGAAGTGCCTGGAGAGAAAAAATCTGAAAAGGCAAAAGAGGCATTTACAATTTCCAGTGAAAAAACAAGTGTCTACATCCAACCATTCGAGTTTAAAAAAGCCAGTGAGGTTTTTCTATCCCATTATTGTGGAAGAGAAGACAAATTGAGAGATTTCACAAAGTTGATAAAAAATTACCTCAGACAACTTAAAACTTTTAGCAAGGAAGAATTAGATAAGATTAGCGCCTTTGCAAAGACTAACTTTGCACTGCTAGGCCCACCTGGGACTGGCAAGACATTGTTTGTGCATTATATTGCTACAATCACAAATAGGTATTTGAAAGAAGAGTTCTTGAAAAACAACCACAAAGATGTTTATGAAAAACTTAGAAACAATAGAGAACAGTTGGAATATTACATGGACAATCATATGCAGTCCAGATTGTTGTTCTGTGAAGTGTCTAGCGGCATAACCAATAATCTTTATTTTGGTCAATCGGAGAAAAATATTAATATATTATTTGAAGCAGCTAGAAAGCTTACAGAAGGCGAGGATGCATTTGAAGCAGTGTTCATATTCTTTGATGAAGGTGAAGTGTTCTTCGGCAAGCGTGTGGCTGATAGCACAAATCAAACAACATCCAATATAAAATCTGAGCTTCTGCAGCGGATCGGAGTGAGACCTACCGACAAATATAGACCAGTGTTTGTATTTTGTGCAACCAACAAATTTGACACATTTGATAGTGCCTTTAAACGTAGATTTGGAAATCAGGCTAAATTAGGCGTACCAAATGAAGAAGAAAGGGACAAATATGTAAGATTTGTGTTCAAGGACTTTGATTTGAAAGAAAATGAAATAAAGTTGATTATTAGTCTTACAAGAGGACGATCGCAATCATTTCTTCCAAAATATGCCCAAGAATATTATATAGAAGATGAAAACGGACAAATCGTTGGTCTAAACCTGAAGCAATTTTTAATATTTTTATACAAGAATAGAGATAATAAAGATCTGATATGAAGAAAAAAGAGTAACTCACATTGGAGATCCTCCACTGTTGATTTTCACGTCAGGTGTTTAATAAATAGCTACGGATACCTCATATCAAGTATTATTAATATCATGACTGATGATAAGTTAAACAAAAATAAACACAATAAAATTCCCAGTTGTACTACAAAATTTCTTTAATTTTCATAAGCCTTTGGTCCTAAAACACGAGGCCTGCTGAATATTTGATTGGTGAGAACAAAGTAAATATTGAATCTGTGCAAAACTCTCTCCTCAAGAATATTTCTTGGTCGGTATGTGCCATTAAGTACTTCAATAGCTGACTTAATATTTACAAGTTCAGCTTCTCTTGACTGAAGAAGATGAACACTTGTAATGAATGATTCAATACCGTACGTATCGTAGTTATTGTAAAATCTCAAGAATGTTCTGAACTCATCATGGATGGTAACCCTTGTGAATGTGTCAAGCAAGAATGGCTTTTGTAGATAATCAATCTCACTCACACTAGTGATTTTCTCATAAGCATTAAGACTGAGTAGTTGCAATAAACCTCTTGTTGTGCATCCAATACTCGTATCATAGAAGTTGGGACGTGGGAAGTATGTGAAGAGGTATACATTGTGAAGAGAAATAGCAGTAAAGTTTATGAGCTGTTCCACAGTGGCACCACATTCAACAGCTGCACAGTAAATGCTTTCAATTACGGCCTCTGCTTTTTCAGGTATATAAACACATCTTTTTCCACTGATTATTCTAATTGTAGCATGCACGGCACTGCAGAATTGCTCCTTAGTAAGACACTTGCAGAGGCTCTTCTTTGTGCAAAATATAAAAGGCTCTTTGAACTCACATTCAAACTTGTTGCAGTTTTTCTTCATGCACCTTCTATATCTTGAAATAATAGATCCGTTTCTCAAATAGTCAAACGATTTAACGGCTATTGGGGGCAGAAGAGCACCTGTGCAAGCATTGGTAATATCTGCTCCATAGAAGGCCTTGACTTCAGCAGCAGGTGCTGCAGCAGGTGCAGCCGGAACAATAAACAAATGCTCAGGACTGCTTCCATCCATAAAGCTTGATGAATCACTACATGCATATAACTCATAGTTTGGACCACAGTTTCCAGTGAGGCAGACTGCACTTACAGTATCAAATAGTGATAAGATAAGATTGGACAACATGAACTAGGGGTCAGGTTCATTCTGAATTTATATATCTTTGTGTTTATAATTTAATATAAACAATTAAATTTATTAAATTGATGATGTAAATAAACACAGAAATGAAAAACAGCCCTGGTGAATTTTGAATGCTCTTTAATAAATGTTTTGATGCTTTTAGAGTGATTTTAAATAGATTTGTGTCATGCTTAGAAATTTGGTTCATTAATAATTTTTATTTTGTTTTTTGATATAGACCGTGTTGATTTAAACAAATAAAAGTCAAAATAGAATCGAATACTTCATAACAATTGATGTATCATATTTGCTAAGGCTAAATAGCTTTGCTATAAAGACAAGATCCTTATTAGTTTATGCTAATCAGCACTGTAAATAAAAAATAAATGAACAAAGCAAACTTATCTACACAAAAGATATAACACACTTTATAGACTGATTATGTATGGATTACATTAGGTTTATTTCGAATAGGCATTGATTTTGTAACTAAATGACTGCTATCAATAGTAGATTCTACAAACAATGAAAGACAAAGCTATTGCAAGATGCCATGTGCCATATCTTGTGATCCTAGAGCCATTATGCATAAGCATTTTGGCGTATATTTAAACTATCCTTTATATTTTTTACTGTCTTTTCTGCTCATTGTGATTCTGTCCCTATTTCCTTTTCCTCCTTCCCAGAACTGTGCATGCTTTCTTTTCAAATTCATACCACAATCGCATTCCTGTTTTACGCTCTGTTCCTTTGAGCACAGTCCACAAACCATTCTAAATGCCATTTCTGCCTTGTGCCCCGACTGTTCATCATGGCAAACATCGCAAGGATACAATGAATTACAGCAACTAAATCTGAACCATCTATAAGATTTCTTATAGTGTTTGCATGCTCCTTTTCCTGGCAGCTCCTCTCCTTCCTTTATTTTCACATCCTTCTTTTGATAGAAATCTATCCTGTTCACTTTAAACCTTAATTCGTTATAACACCCATTGCATTTTCTGCTAAATACACCACCAACATTTACTTCATCAGATTCGTAATTTTTTTGGCATTCTTGACAATTGAACTGATATCTAATTGAATTAAAACAAACGAACTCACATTTTTTCAGTTGGAGAAAGCCAAGCGAATCAGAACTAACCGTCGGCACATAAATGAATCCTATTTCCTGTGAACATCTTTTGCATGGCTTATTAAATGTAATGTTTGATACTTCCTGACACTTAGAGCACTTTACAACCATATTCAGCTGTAGACAACAGATGAGAAGTATGTTTGTAATTGAAATGTCACATTTCAGGTTAGGTGTGACATTGTTGCTTACTGGAAATTTAAAGTCTTTTGGAAGTTCTCCCTCTCCCAAGCTTTCAGTAGTTTCTCCTGTTCGTTTGAATTCTGGAACTTTTCCCATGAAGAATACGTTAAGATTGTCCTCAAAGAATTCAATAAAATCTTTGATTTCAAGAATATTGAATTTAGAGATGTTTTCTTTGATGCTTTGTGGTATTTCCTTACAAATAACTGTTTTAGAACCATTTTCTGGGAAATAACGTACAACTATGTCGGAAGTGTCATAGACAAAGTCACATGGCTTATGCACGTAAATATTGTAGCACTCTCTTCTACTATCCACCTTTCCTCTTTCTACTTTATGAGTCTTGAAAAGTTCGCTAACTTGGCTATCCATTAAACAGATGTGATGGGTGTGATATTTTTATTATAAATATGGAAATGCCACATGCAATCAAACTGAATTTAAGCTTCTTTTAGCACTACTAATAAGGATATGACAAGTCACACGCCTTAAAACAAATGATTTGAATAAGACCCAATGACAAAATTTTCAGCCGAGCACCTCATCAACGTTTTTAAAAATCAAGTTAAAGCTAACCACAGAGCTATGTTTGTAATCGTTGGAGAAGATCCAAAACAGCAGATTCATATTCTTCATGGAAAATTGAACCAGATCTCAAACTTAAGTAACGTTATATGGTGTTATAAGAACAAGAACTCCGAAACGCCGTTGGACAAAGAAACAAAAAAATTGAAAAATTGTGAAAATGACAAGGAACTTGAAAAATGGGTCAAGACGTACAGCCCTGAATATATTTCTTACAAGGAAAATGGCAAAATACTTGGCAAAACCTGTGATATACTAATTTTACAAGATTTTGAAGCTTTAACACCTAATATGATGGCTTGTTCAATTGAAACCGTTAGAGGTGGGGGCGCAATTGTATTATTGTTGGATTTAGAAAAGTCTATTAAAGAGATTGACACTTGGAAATCTGAATTAATCACGCAATCAGTCAACGAAAAGTTAATTTCAAGGTTTAATAAGAGGTTATTTAAGAGCTTGGTGCATCTTCCATGTGCAATGTTCTTAGATTCGAACTTAAGAGTAATTGATATCACCAGTGATAATATCGAGAATAATAAAGTCTTGATGGAAAAGGAAATACAAACAACGAGTGATAAGTGCATAAATTACAACAGTACCTTGTTCAGGATGTGTAAGACCAAAGACCAAATATCTGTCTTGACTTCTCTTGTGTCACATTTGGATATTGACGAGCCTTCAGTAAGTTCTGTTATTGCTGAAAGAGGTAGAGGAAAATCAGCTGCGCTGGGTCTTGCAATTGTTTGCGCCATTGAAAAGAACTTCCCTCTGATTTTGATATCATCGCTATTTCTCGACAATGTTCAAGCAATATTTGAATTTATTATCGCTGGATTAGATGCTTTGGAATACAAAAAAATGAAAGATTACAAAATCAGGTATACTTTTGAAAGCAAAAAACGCCTGATCAACAAAATAGAAGTCGTTAAAGATTATAGAAGAACTGTTGAGTTTGTACAGTCCTTTGAAGAGCCAAAAGCTTATCCAAATCTACTTGTGATTGACGAAGCTGCTTCTATTCCCTTATTATACCTCAAAAAATTACTTAGATGTAAGGCTAGTATTCATGGCATCAACAGCCAATGGCTACGAAGGGACTGGCAGGATTTTCCGAACAAAGCTAACAGAATACATTAAAGAAAAATCCATCAAAAGCTATACATATGAGATGGGAGCCTATCAGATACTCTATTGGCGATGAGGTTGAGGACTGGTTATATAAAACCTTGCTTCTTGGACCTAAAATAAGCCAAGTAGAGCAATGCCCTCTTCTGTCCCAGTGTTCTCTTTATTATGTTAATAAAGATGTTTTGTTTAATGGAAGCCAAAAGTCAGAAACATTTCTTAGCGAGATTTTTTCGCTATTTGTGGCTTCTCATTACAGAAATAGTCCAAATGACATTCAAACTCTTTCTGATTCGCCAAGCCACGAGATCTTTGTTTTAATGGCACCATTTAAACCTTTAAGAATAGTATGTGCCATTCAGGTTTCATTTGAAGGAAAATGTAATAAAAATGCATGTGTAAAGCAAGGCAATCTAATTCCATGGGTAATTTATGAAAATTTCTTCGATGATCAGTTCTTAGATAAACTTGGGATGAGAATCGTAAGAGTTGCTGTCCATCCAAGCATGCTTTCGATGGGATATGGGTCTTTAGCACTTTTAACACTTACAAACTTATTTATTGATAGACATGAAAGCCATTCATCCAAATCAGAACATAATGCTTATACGACTGGCGAACAGTGTTCAAAAAATAGTATCAGTGTTGATTATAATCCATCATGTATTATGTGCGATGATCAATCTACTCTTTTTCATCCTATTAACACTATCAAAACCCCTAATATTGACTGGATCGGATCTTCATTTGGGGTCTCTGAAAGGCTATTAAATTTTTGGAAAAGGTCCAATTTCAATCCCGTTTGTATTAAGCAAACACAGTCGAAAACTACTGGTGAGTTTTCAATTGTTTTACTCAAGGCTATTGGAAATAAAACGGACGAGTTCGATGGTATGAAAACATTGTTTCTAGAAAGATTTGTTCCACTTCTTTCATATTCATTTAAGAATCTATCACCTACACTTGCACTATCGTTAATATACTCATCAAATGCAAAGGTTTTAGACAAGAAAATTCATTTTTCAAAGGATGAGGTCAACCGACTTACAAAGTTTTCCAATGGGCTTATTGACATAAAATCTATTATGGATATTCTTCCAGATCTGTCTAGATCATATTTCTATCAAAATGACCTTAATAAACTTTCAGTTGTATCTCAAATAGCATTATTAATGATAGGTTGTCAAAGAAAAACGGTGAAAGAAGTGGCAGAGTATCTCAGTTTAGATTGTTTCAAAGTTATTAATCTAATTATTTCAACTATTGGGACACTTTTATCGACAGATCTCAAATAAATTTTACTGTTAAATTTTATTTCATATCTGTCATTTAAAGCCATTAAATATCAGTTTTGATTTATTAATCAAACTTGTTTGCAAATAACGTCGAAATGAATGCCATGCCCTTTAATTTTATGTCTAAAACTTGTTTTGAAAATTTTTATTGCCCAATGTCCTTTGTACTTCTTAACAAAATAGAGCCTCAACCAATTGAATTTCTGGAACCAGCTTCATTTAATTTAACAAGCGATTCAATATTAAATGACGCCTTACGTGCTGCAGAGGCCCATAGGCGGGTAAGGAGCAGCGTCCAACAGATTCTAAAACCAGGAGTTTCACTACTGCAAATTATAGAAACTGTGGAAAAAGCTACACGAGCTTTACTAGTAGGAGAGAAGAACAACGGAATTGGATTTCCATGTGGTGTAAGCTTAAATGACTGTGCTGCTCACTTTACACTCAATCCAGGAGATAGGAACATAATATTAAAAGAATCTGATATTCTAAAAATAGATTTTGGAACACATTCTAATGGCAGAATTATGGATTCTGCATTTACAGTCTGTTTTGATCCAAAGTTTGAACAGTTACTAAAGGCCTCACAAGAAGCTACCAAAAGAGGACTAGAGGTTATAGGAATTGATATGATGGTGTGTGAAATAGGTAGGGAAATTTCTGAAGTATTCAAATCCTTTGAAATAGAGTTAGATAATAAAATCATGCCGATAAAGCCCATATGGAATCTTAACGGTCATTCTATTGAGCAATATAGAATACATGGTGAGTTTTCAATACCACCAATCAATAATGGAGACACATCAAGAGTTTCAGAGGGATTCTGTGCCATTGAAACATTTGCAAGTACAGGAAAGGGTGAGGTCTGTGATAAAGGTGAAGCATCCCATTTTATGATCAATAGAAACCCACCAAGTTCAAAAATTTATAATGCTAAAAATGAAAAAGTTCTTAAGACTATTCAAAAAGAGTTTGGAACATTGCCCTTTAGTCCTAGACATGTTGAGTTTTATAGCCCTGATTCATTTTCAAGTATCAAGCTGCTATCACTTAGAAAATTTATCGACCCATACCCACCTCTTCATGATTTACCAAACTCCTTTGTTGCACAATTTGAGCATACAGTTTATCTTTCAGACACAGGGAAGAGAATACTTACAAACGGCAACGATTATTAATTGAAACATCTTTAAAACAAACCCAAAGTCTTTATATTATTTTTAATATAGCTTCAAAGCACATATTTTATACTAAAAATATAAGTCTATGCTATTGGCTTAAATTTTAGCTTGTTTATAACAAGTATATTGCCAGTAAGTTTTTAGTATTAATCCTTTATCAGATAAATTTGTTAATATTTTTGCTGGCACCGCCTAAACTACACTCGCTGACTTTTATAGCAAATCTAAGAGTGCAAATGGTCTCTTCAATACACTCCGGATTAATGTTAACAATCATAGAAGTCCTAGATCTTCCAGACAAATACTCCTGCATTATATGGGTAAGTTTAGAATCCCTAAATGGAACGTGTTTGTCTTTTCTTTTTAATGCTGCCATCACATTTCCAAGCGCACTCAGGCTTTTATTTATAAACTGGGTTTCTTTGAGTCTTTCATTCTCGGCTTTGCTTTCTTTTAATCTCTCAGAGCCTGCCAAATCAATCAAACACAATGATCCTTGCCTTTTTTCATTCTTTGATTCAATAAGTACATTGAGAATAAATATAGAATGGCTCCTGCTTGAACTTACATTGCAATTTGTCTCTCCTGTCTTTCTTTTCAGACTATATTGCTTAATTATACTTGAAATAAGATCAATATCATCAGCTGATACTTCTTCACAATCTTTAAGTTTTATGGAATGTGTATCGTGTACGATTGTAACAGCTTTGTCCGAAATTAAATCTCTGACATTTTCATTATAAACTTCAATGTATTTAACAATATACTTAACAGTAAAACCCTCATTTCTGAATCGATTTGAAATATCTTTGATCTTATCCAGCGATTTAAATATTAAACCCTCCTCTAATCCTTCTCCACACATTGTATAGGTCTTTCCACTACCTGTTTGACCATAGGCAAATATGCATACACTATATCCTTCTAATACGCTTTCAATTTCAGGCTCAACTTCTCTAAAAATTTCATTTTGCGAAGAGCTTGAACCAAACACATGATTTAAAGAGTACTGTTTATCTTCAACAAATATATTTTTATCATCAAACCGAATGTGACAATTACCTTGAGTTGGTTTTATCCTACATACTACTCTTATTGCTCCCTTTGCTTGCAGGACGGCCTCTCTAAGAACTTTTTCGTTGGTTGTTAATTGAAAATTAACAACGTTTAGGTTATGAACTTGTGATTTGTAGTCTTCTAGCTGTGCTTCAAGTTCAAACACCCTTTCACTTAATTCCTTTATTCTCTTTTGAAGTTGTGAGTTTTCCTCAATTATAAGGTTATTATCCAGAGACATCTGCGGCTTTATAAAGATATTGTCTTTGACTTCAATGGGATGGATTGCTATATCTGTTCTTTGTCTCTTTGGGATATTCAAGATTCGATTCAGAACTTTCTCGAGTTGTCTAATTTCATGCTCCATGGGGCAGTATTTAAAATAGAAAATAAAGGCATAGCTATAAACGATAGCAAATGAACACTTTCAAGTAAAGGCGAAGTCAAATTAAACTGAAAATGCTACAAATTCTATGTGATATTACTTGCTATACAACATACATCCAAAACTGTTTGATAAACCACGCCATTATTAGATATTATAAATTATGCAGGATTAATTTAAAAGTCATCAACACACTGTTCTTTTTATTGATTATTCTGCTTCTAATGACCTAAACACTTTTTTTACATCCTCTTCTGCTATTTCTCTTTCTTTGCATGTATCTTTTAAAATGGTCAATACATATGCATGTACAAGCGTTACAATCTCATTGAGTTTTTCTTTGGCCTCTTTTGACGTGTTTCCGTTTTCTTTTACTAGTTTTGCTATCTTGAATACCTCCGTCAATTCACTGAATGTCTGCATTAGGGCTAAGTAATTACAGAGTACAAGCATGAATGTGTAAATGATAGAACAGTTAGTTTCAATGCTAAAATAGTATTTTACCAATGATTCGTGTTGTTTATCATAGTATGCTATTTGTGTTTTATTTTGAAAATTTTTGTTTTTATCCTTAATGGCATACACTTCAAAGCAAATAGGATCAAAATATTCATCTTCCTTTAAGGCATACATCCTCAAAGATGGAAAAGTCGTATCTCCATTCCATGATATTCCTTTGATGGTTGATGGATCATTTAACTATGTTACTTGTATTAATGAAATCTCCAGATTTGAGCATGGCAAATTTGAAATATGTAAAGAGGCTTCATTTAACCCAATATGCCAGGATGTGAAGAAAGACAAGGTACGATTTGTTAAGAATGTCTTTCCTTCATTTGGGTACCCTTTTAATTATGGTGCTCTGCCTCAGACATGGGAGAACCCTATGCTTGAGGACTCTGAATGCAAGGCAAGAGGGGATAACGATCCTGTCGATATTGTGGAAATTGGATCTAAGGTAAAAAAGATCGGTGAAGTATATCAGGGCAAGGTATTGGGAGCGCTGGCGCTTCTTGACGACAACGAAGCTGATTGGAAGATAATTGTAATTGACTCCAAGGATGAAATGGCTGGAAAAGTAAACGACATTGAGGATGTTAGACATCATTTTCCAGGGTTACTCGAGTGGATATTTAAATGGTTTAGAGACTATAAAGTTCCAGATGGAAAGCCCAAAAATATTTTTGCGTTTAATGGAAAATTTTTGAATGCAAGGTTTGCCAAGGACGTTATTAAAAAGACTCACGAAAGCTGGAAAAGTCTTATTGTGGAAGGATATAAGAAATAAAACTCGACAGTTCCACTTGTAAGGAATCCAAGGACTACAATCCTAACGGAATGGAAATTAAAGGAGAAGAGTTGCCCGATTCAAAGATTCCGGATGAGCTTTATGAGTTTTCTTACGTTTCTGAATAAATCCATTTAGTTTGAATGTTAGTCAACTTAACCTAGTACTAAAACACTTTAATTTTTATTTCTTTTATGTGATTTAAATACAATATCTATGCTTTTTGTTGCTCTTGAGTCCTTTTCCGGTTTGAATATTGTTCTTAATGGCATGTTCATTTTGTGAGGATTTAGTATTTTGCCATTTTCAAGAAACAATGAAATTCCGTCTGTTACTGCTGTTCGATGTAACTCTAATTCCAAGTGCTTTATCAGCATATTTCGATCTGAAAATCTTTCATAACAAATATAACACTGTGTATTGGTAAGATAGAACCCCTGTTCATCCGAGAGATTGTGAAGCCTATAATGTGCGATGCTATGGTTCTGATCACAGAAAACACACAGCCTATTTGTTTCTATACTTGCAATAGATTCTGAACTGTTTACTTCTTTGGGCTTATCAGAACTGCTAACTTTAAATATATTTATAGAATCTGAAATGTTCAAATCGATAGTCAAATCGTCGGATATTGACTGAGAATCAAATTCCTCTAATGACAATGGCGGGTATCCTAAGAACTTCCTGCGTGCATTGAGACTGTGGAGCTCAGACTTGTAGTGATGTAAATCCTCTATCTTTGTCTCGCATATCGTGCAATACATCAGGACTAGAATATTAAAAAAATATAACATCAATATTTTTGAGACGAAACAGTATCAGAAACAATGATAAGAGCTTTTAAATGTCAATAGCAAATACCACTTTAGCAAGAATAAGTAAATGGTGAAGACAGAACTCTAACACTTATCTATAGTATCATAAAAATATGCTATTAATGCCATATTGTTTAATATGCCAGTTTAAGAATCCCATAAATAGCTGAAAAGTATATTTTGTGTAAATTTATAAATAAAATGCCAACTGTTGAATCTATATTATCTTTTTTCATTTATTTTTGTTTTAAATTTTTTCTGTAGTCCCAAAATTCTAACTGTCAGCTCAACTGATTTATACTCATCAAGTGAAAACCCGATTTTAAGTGGCTCCGCAGAAAACTTTTTAATCAACAATGGCAAATCATCGGTTTTCTTATTAACTTTCTCATCTTCATTATTGTAAAAATCCAAGTTTTTCAAGGTAATGTCTCCAAATGAATTATTCTTTACCAAAAAATCTAAAACTAGCTTTTGATCAGCAAGATTGGCTCCTTGCATTTTGAAATCCAAGCCCTTGAGAATCAGTGCCCAGCAAACAGCATAGACTAGAACTACACCAAAAACTAGTGTTGCAATCTTTCTGACAGATTTTCCAAGTTTTCCAGGTAAAAGACAAGATAAACAAAGCATAGGGCTGGTTCAAACTGTGGAAATTGATTAGAAAAATAGTTGAAAACATCAAAACTTTACAAATAAAAATAATTATAGCACCGCTAAAATAATATAATTTATTTGCCACAGCACCTGCACCAATTTACAAATCTACCGCAACAGGTTTCTTCTGGCTCAAGTGTCTCACTGTTATAATAAATATACTCACCTGCAGCCTCAAAAATTTCGTTTATATTTTCTCTTGCCAGGGCAGAGCATTCAAAGAATTTTTCTGCTTTAATTTTCTTTGCTAATCCTGCGCCTTCTTCTTCTGTTAACAAAGTGGATTGATCGACTTGAGGGTCATTTCTAAGATCTTTTTTTAATGCTACTAAAAAATACTTTGCATTTGGACAGTAGTTCTTTACTTCCAGCAGCCACTTATTTTCAATGCCATCCACACAGTTCTTATCTTCAATTGAATAGCATATTATTACAAGGTCTGTTTCTCTATACGAGAGTGGTCTTATAGTATCATAGTCATCTTGTCCAGCAGTATCCCAAAGCGCAAGCGTTATTTTCTTTCCATTTTCAAACTCTACAACTTTTAAAAAGTTGTCTACAACAGTGGGCACATACTCTTCCGGGAATCTATTGCTTTTAAACACTTCTAGCAGACATGTTTTTCCACAAGCACCATCACCTATTAGAACAACCTTGCCTGACCTTGTTTTCCTATCCATTGCATACTTCAATGTTGTACTTTTAAATTCTATTGTTTGATTCTGAAACCGTTAAAAATTGAAAACTTGTTGGATTTCTGTGTTTTAAGCATGGCAATAATGTTGAAACATTGATTGGATAGGAAGTATATTTATTCACATACTAATGAGAAGACAATAAGGTTTAAAGTAGAATCTTTAATGTAAAGATGGCACATGAGAAAATTATCGAAAGCTTATTAAAGTATGATAGCTGTAGAGCTGTCATTATTTTAAATAGTCGTTTTCTTATCTTCTTTGCCTATAAAATTTGGTTTTGATAAGTATATTAATAAAAAATCACAAATGCACGTTTTAGCATTAATGATAAGCTTTTATTAAAGTATATTTTATTTTCTTTGGATACTCATACATTCATTCATTAGTCTTGTAAATGTAAAATCATCAAGCTCGTGTGCTTCGATGTGCACAGGTATTTGCAGTGAATTCTGAAGAACGGCAGTGTTTGAAGTCATTGCTATTTTATTTCTAAGATTTACATTCTCGGGAATAAAAGATACTAGCATTATCATCTCCCTGTAGTTACTCTTTTCATTGTAATATCCAAAGTTATATGCAATAAAAGAAGCCTTAGACTTTTCTAACTGGGCCTTGCATTGATCAAATACACTAAAAGCTCCTCTTCACTGGGCGTGGATCTCAGATTGGACGAGCTGTCTATCCCACCAGAAACGTTTACTCTAAGTTCGACAGGATCAACTTGGCTGATTCCGAAGACGGTGTATGTTACTTTCCTGGATCGGATCTTAAAGACTTCCACTTCAACATCCTTGTATCCTTTAATCTGGCAAGTAGCAATAGACATCTAAGGGTAGACCATTTTGAAATTCCTGGTTCAAAGTTTTGAAATGGTAAAAATATTATTTGGATATCAATGAAGATGAAAATGCCACATCAAGTATTCGAATGCATAATATTTTATAAAAAGTTTATTTAATGTGTGTACAAATATTAAAATATGTTTAAAGTCAAAAAACTGCTTTTAGGACACAAATGGGGTTTCCAGCGATATTGAAAACTGTCAAACACTCCTTGGTTTGATTTTATAAGTCTTTTTAAGAATTAAGATAAGTGTATTCAAAACGATCTAAAATACCGAAAATGATAGCCACAAGATAAAAACCAGTTACAAAAAGTAGCTTTGAGGCACGATAGAGCAAGTGACAAAACAAAGCATACCAAACAACAAATAAACCATTAAGGAGGGAGACTTGACAAGGAAAGTTTAGTAATTGGAAAATTAGAGGATAAAACAAAAAAGTATAACAAAATAGGTAATAGAACAGAGAGAGCAAGATCATTTAAGCAAGTTTTAGCTTGAAATTTCAGTCATTTATTGATAATCTAGGCTTAACTGGTGTAAACGCGTAAGAAAATAGTCAATAATTATTTCATAAGCCCATAGCTACGTGAAATTTTATGTTGG